AGAAGTGTAGTGTTCTTTAAAGTGGCAACTTAAACTTCAGTCGAATAAAAAATCCTAAGCAAAGTTGGAGAGACAGCAACATCTGCAACTCAGAGCTGCCTCTGTTCTTCCCACATCAATTTACACTGTGGTGGCAAACACGGGGAGATAAGAGATGGAGTCAGAAGACATTGTGTAATCAAACTGGTGGATTACACTTTGCAGCACACAGAGGTGCAAACACACATTTCTGTTCCCCTGCCGTGCCTGTGAGGACTGGCACAGGCACAGGCCAGCACAGAACTGCCAGACCAACTGTCCCTTACTCCAAACCCCTGTCCCTGCTCTCTGCCCGGCTGTCACACACCCAGCACGCTCACAGATGTGTCACAGCCACCTTCACACTCCGGTGCTTGGGAAAAGCTTGTCGGCACTCCATCCCGTGTACAGGCTGGTATCTGGCAGCCTGGGATGCCAACAGGGCCATGTTTTCCCTCCTTTTGGGAGCTGCCACACAAGGAGAAAGGATGTGTGAGATAAAAGGGCTTTCTCTCGGAGTCTGTGCATCCTGACTTGAAAGAGTAGAATCCCCAAAACTGCAATTCTTCAGAAATGCTATTTTAACTTTGGAAACATCTTTTCCCTCTTTCACACACCTCAAACATTTACCTCTAATAAATGTATGTTACGTGTACAGGATGTCAATCTGTGCCAGTTTTCCTTTAATTAGGGGAAAGCTTAATTCTCTCACCCTGCTCACCCCTCTCCTACTTTGCCTGTTAGACACAAGAGCGAGCAGTTCCGAGTTATGCCTAATGTTTTTTTGCTGAACAGACTTGAAAAGTAAGATCATTTTCTCTACTGCTTTCTTCAATCACTCGCCCACACACACCCTTGGGGCTTACACCTAGAAAATGCCCTCTGGGAGTCTGCTCTTGGATCGCTGCTCTTTAGGAGTGAGTCTGCTCTTGGATCGCTGCTCTTTAGGAGTGTCCTCACTTCCAGTTCCCCAGGGACTGGTTCCAAGCACCTTTCAGCTACTGCAATTTTAATAAGCTCTTTGTGCATATCCTAAGATGATCATACTTTGGAAAGCTAAGCTAAATACATCATTTTAAATAAACATCAAATGCTCTTTCACTTTGAGGCTATTCATTATGATCCCAGCATAAACCTCTGGACTTCCCTATCCCTGGAAGTGTTCAAGGCCAGGCTGGATGGGGCTTGGAGCAACCTGGGATAGTGGAAAATGTCCCTGCTCATGGCAGGGGGTGAACTGATGGGCTTTAAGGTCCCTTCCAACCCAAATCATTCTAGAATTCTGTGATTATGATTCCAGGAGTGGAAGTGCCAGGCAGAAATACATTTCCATGCCCCAGGTTTCTGGCAAAGCAGGAGAGGGGAGTCAGAGGCAGCACTGGCCATCTCCCAAGGCAGGGATGGGACAGCTGTTGGTGGAATACCACTGTTCCTATGCAGTGAATAGCACTTCTAGAGGAAAATGGATCCACAGTCCCTGATTTTGTCCTCTTCGTTCACAATATTCTTAGACTGAACCTAATGCAATTCACGTTACCAAGCCAGAGAATACACCCCTAAACGGTAAGGGACTGAGGGAGCAGGACCATGACTGTACCCCATTCAGGAAAGGATTCTCCTGCTCTTCTCTGTCAGCCGAGCAGGTGCCACAGCTTCCCCTGCAGTCACCTCCCACTTCTTGTACGTGGTTGTCTTATGCTTTAAGTATTTTCCTTCTACTTCCTCATGAGGAGCCCTCACAAAACTCCTGAAGAGCAGATGGGAAAAACGACAATCGCTAGACAAAAAGTGCTGTAAAACACAAAGGAAACAGGCACTTCTATTCCCCTAATCTTTTTAAGTACAGGAACTCTCAGGTCCTACACGTGAAGAACAGCAGGTAATACACCTTCAGACAGAAGTACCCTTTTAAGCAAATACTTTCTTTTTACTACAGTAAATTTTAACTGATCCTGTCACAGGAGTGATCTTTTCTGTAATTCAGAATTCTCACGTCACTCAAGAATATTTGCCCCATCATTTCAAGGGTCCTCATGTTACAAAGCTCCAACCATAAACTTCTTTGTCAAGCCTCAGAGCAGCACAACCTTTTGCACAGTTTCAGGAAAGTTACAGGAATACAGCTGTACTTAAATACCCAAACTAAACCCAAATTAAAGTAAGAATCATCACCTCTCCCTGTTGCAACAAGAGTAAACATAGGAAGAGAAAAAAGGCCCAAGAAATAACACTTTAGGTAGGCTTCTAGGATTTCCTGCTTTTTGTAAGTTCAGGAGTTATTAGGAAATTGGATATGGAAATATCTTAAATCTGAGTTTCGGTAAAGGAGTTCATATTCTTCATTTATATCCTTCATTAGATGGAGTGCAAGAATTAAAAACTCTGTAAAAACAGAGCTACAATTAGTATCTGTGATTGGCCCCCAAGTAGACAATGACACGATTTTCATACACCTTCTTCATAGTTTTCTCAATTTGCTTCAAAAATACTTGTGGAATTCTCCCACATAAAGTGTGTACTGTATCCAGAAACTTCGACTGCAGAGGGTAGTACAAGGACTGGAAGAGATTGTCTTCAAATGGAAACTAAAGAAAAGGAAAAAAATGAATTATTAGTTTTCACTAGATGAGAAATGGCATTTTAGAAGTTTCTGTAAGAGAAAACCTTCTGTGGGTAGGGAATGACTCGTCCCTCACCTGTCCAAGCTGTCACCAAGCCCATCACTTCAAACCCTGCTTGGGAGCACCTGCTTTCAGAGAAGTTTGTCTCGGCATATTCCCTGAAACAGCCAACTCCCAGAAACTGCACTTCCAGAGTGTGCGTTTACAGGAGCTTTACTGATGTAGGGACACTGTAAGGAAACAGTGTTTTGGGGTGTGGAGCTGTACACACACCACGTTCCAAGTAGACACATGCACTGTGTCTGCGTGCAAGCCTCTGCCTTCCATGTGCCTGGAGGCTCGAGGTGCTCAGGGAGGACAAACTTGCACCAGGTATTTGTAGACCAGAGCTGCTTCCTAGCAGGAAGAGCTCCATTCCAAAACTTTGTTCCTAGCTTCAATATTACAGAAAAGTAGTTCATCAGCCTTTCTGAGTGGAAGTTTACTATAATATGGAGAAGTGTTTAAATCACCTCAAATACATGAGAAGCCAAAGCAGCTGTGTCCTGTTGTGTCTGATGGGTTTACACAAAACACAACCACGCTCAGCCCGATCGGCTGGAAGAGCAATCCCAGTAAAGCAGGAATCTACACTGAAACACAAGGAGTGCCTGTGTGGAGGCAGCAGACTCACATCACGGATCACCTCGTAGAGTGCCTTGAACGTGGGCTGCTTGTCATCGTGGTAGACGCCCCTGTTCCCGTGCAGGATGGACACCCCCTCCTCCTCCGCCCCTCGGCAGTTGCTGCCGTACATGCAGTGGTCGGGCCGGTAGTTCCACTGGCAGGGGAACACATAGAGACACTCTGCCCACATCAGTCAGGGGAGAGGGAAGGGAAAAAGACAAGTCAAACAAGAGTTAGAACAAATTAAACCATATTTCCGTGAAAAGCTGGGACTGATGACCAGGAAACGTTTGGTTACTTCCTCTGCAATTATCCCAAGCAGCAGCTCGATGGAGATGCTTCCTTCCCTCAGAGGATGACTACACACACCTCAGATGTTGGTCCTGAACCAGGGCAACAGACAGGGCAACACAAAGTCTGGGAGCAAACACAACCCAAGGGAGCCCTTCACAGAGCTGAAAGTGGCAGAATCAAACCCACTGAGTACACATCAGGTGGCACTATCCAGTGTCCTCTGCCAGAGGAAAGAGTTTCTGGAGTGACAGGAAGGACTAGGGAAGCACACACAGCAGTTATGGTTACTTAAAATCCTGACTCCTTTGGAGACAGCATGGGAAAACTTGCAAAGTACATCCAGTGTTTGCTGCTGAAGCTGTCATGGAGGCCACAACAATTTGTTACACAGCAGAGCATGAGGAATCGTGTATTTTATTCACAGCCCTCCTAAGAGTTATCACCCATTAATTTCACAGGTCTGGTTTTATTTAAAGATGAGCCTAATTCCTCAAAAGGGCTCGTAACTCGCTTTCTCCTACTGATTTTTTTTACACTCTCTCTGTGCACACAGAACTCGCAATCTGCTTGTCATAAATCACACCAGTCCCTGCGACCTTTCTGCCTCGGCTCTGGAGAACAATGAATCATGTCTGGTGCCAGCAGGTCATGGCAGAAGTGCTGAAGATTGAATTCTTCACTTGGCCTTTCCCAGCTTCCCAGAAGTCTGCAGCTGGTCCCATGTGGTTGTTGAAGAGTAGGAGAATAAGCTTCTGAACCATTTCTTCCCTTAAGGCCTCTGTAGCAGGAGAACTCTCCAGAAAGGGAGAACAGCCGTCAGAGAAGGGAAAAGGGAGCAGCTCCTCAGGCCCCACGTAGCACAGTCCTGTGTGGTTTTAATTTGCATCTATAAAAAGGTACCTGCAGCATCTTGGCCGATTCCTTCGCAGGCCAGTTTCAACAACCCAGAGTTTAAAACCTCACAGAGTTCAGTTTTCTGTGTTATTTGTATCCGGTTCTCTTGTTCTCTTTTCTGAGCAGTCTGATGTTACATAATTCACAAAAAATTATTTACCAGTTACAAGGAAAGGACTGTGGTGCAGAGTAGTCCCAACATGTGGCTTTGATAGAGAACACTCATCTCAAAATTAAGATATTCTTGCAATCTTTGGTTTTTGCTGCACACTTCAGTTAGCAGCTTGAGTTTGACTTCATGACTAATCTGGCCTAATTTCTTTTTTTCTTCTAGGAGACCCTATTCCCATGACATTAATTTCTTTTGGAAATTAATTCCCACTCTATTTTTCCCTAGGTCTAAGGGTAATGTGTGGTGTACCAGGGACACTGATGTTTGACATCTGTCTGCAGTAAACAGATGTTTGCTTATTGCTTTGCTTCTGCTCACTCCTCTTATTTGCCTGGATTTGGGTATATCCAATTACCTACCCTGTGACTCCTTAGAGAAAAAGAAAAGGGAACAGAATAAATAAAGATAAATCCAAACTTGTTTCATTCTTAAGATCACTCGAGGAAATACTGGATCACACAGGAAACAGGAAAAGCAATAAGAATGAACACTCAGCATCCATTCAAAGCATGAAATAAGGTTCTCAGCTTCTTTGGGAAGCTTGTACTATGCTCCAGTGTTTAAATCCCTGCATTTTTCACCAGCAGGATATCTATGACACTATCCTGGTGCTTGCTGAGACTGATCACTTGGCTTAGAGGCTGGAAGCATCTTCCTCCAATAGTAACTTCTAGTGAAGGAGCAGAAGCAGGGAGGGCACAGCAGTTTTAGACAAGATATTCCAGTGGCTGTGTTCACTTTCTGTCTATATTATCTTTGTCACTCATTTGTTACTCAAAATTCTGAACTTCAGGAAAAATAGGGCATAGCTTCGGAGAAAGTTTGGCAATTTCACATTCAGGAAAACATCCGAAACAAAAACATTTTTGCAGCTACACCCTGGTCCAGTGATGCCCTTAAGCTCACATAAAACCTGAACTCCATTTCTGCATTTGATCATTAATCCTATACTTCACTGTTTTCTCAAAATCTCCAGAAAACGAATTTACACATTCAGTGGAACCAAGTCCAAGTCTCACTACCTGCAGCAATGTCAGAAGTATATTCATGGTTTGTAAATCCAAGGTGCACTTACACAGTAACTTCATGCCAGAGTATTCATGCAACTTATAAATAACAAATAGCACCTAAAAGAAAAATCAAGTTCAGGAGATTTTCCTAGCACAGATAATCACAACTCCAAGAATCATTACTTACCTGGGTTAAAGTAAAAAATGATATTTAGTAAATCCTGGTCTCCCCATGTAATGTAATTTTTGTACTTCTGGTACAATGGATATAACATTTCCTCCCAAGTCAAACCACCTGGTATGATGCTGTTCTGCAGGGCAGAAAAACAGAAGCAAGTAGTTAATACTGTGACCAGTGCTGTGATACCTGACTCAGAGTGGGGCACACACAGATCTGTAAGTCTGCTAAGCCATATCAGACACCAGGTGAAAAATGAAGAACTGCCAGGAAATGTCAGGCCTGGACAGGGCTGGAACAGCAGAGCTGACTGTGCTCCTCTTTGCCTAAACAGGAAAACAAGGTCTCCTGGGTCCAGCTCTGATGTCAGCTCCTGCTGGTCACAAGTGGGAAAAAAGGGGAAAAGTGGAGAAATGCAGAGACGAGGTGAAAACCAAGTTATAAAACCAAGGAAAAACACAGTCTAAGGATCATCTTCCCTGGGAATTATGGTATTAAGAGCAATGTGGGTTTTTTCACTCCAGCTGTTCTTGCAATGGTGTGTGAAACGCCTGGCCTTGCATGAGGAACCACTTGGGGTGAGCAGAGTTTAAGTGATTTCAGAATACGTGCTCAATGAAACCAAAACCTCTTTCACAGAGGAGGGGAGATGTCAATGAAAATGCTCCCTTCTCACTTACATCAGTTCATGGAGTCACTTATCTGCAGCAGGATACAAAAGTCTATTTACAACAGATGCAAAAATTACCAGTTTCTCTGGACTTTCACATCAAGCTTTCCAATTTTAAAAACAATACAGCAACTGCACTGAAGATCCTTGAGTTTATTCTTTCATATGTTCTCAAGGGAAGACAAGATGTTGAAGAAGCCATTTTGCTTCAGCTGCAGGTTCTCACTGCTCCATCCCCTTGAGAAAGTTTCACATGTTTTAATAACCACGTTCACCAGTTGCTTTTAGCATGCAATTATAAAAATTCCATATTTCTCCGATTCTTTACATTACAAACCCTATATAATTTCACACTAAGTTTTCCAAGATGTGAAAAACACATAAATCCCGAGTTCCTGCAACAGCTGCATTTCTCCTCACCTTGAACTGCGTGCTGCGGATCCGCGTTAAATTCATCAGCATCACCCCGGAGTTGACTCCGGTTGTCCCGTAATAAGGGTGACGAGCAAAGCGGCTGTACCAGCCAATCTTTGGGATCTCGTGTTCCGGGGCCATGGCAGCCAGCTGGGTGGAGTTGAACTCCTTCAGGACGTGCCAGATGTCATCGATGGGCCTCAGGAAGAGAACATCAGTGTCCACGTAAAGGAGGGAATCCACATCCTTCAAGATGACCTTTTGGGTTTGCGCGGCGAGGAGAGGAAGAGACGGGAAAGAAATCAAAGAGGCAACAAACAGGAAGATTATTAGCAAAAAGTACTTTTCTTTTAAATCAATAGCCTCTTCCAAATTATCCGTTTATCAGCTAAAGGTAATTACACAGAGGAACAACAGTTATCAGGTTATTGTCTTGTCGTTTGTTGTGGCTTGTTTTTTCTTTAATCTGCACAGTAAAACAGCTACCAGAGCACAAAGGTTGGATTAACCTTCTTATGAAACAGCAACACACAGAGCTCTCAAAAATACCTGCAAGGACTATTTAGTATCAGTTCAGAAATAGGATGTAAATAATGTCTATATACAGAGCTTTGTCAGCTCTTTTCAAGATCTGTAAGTGGTGAAGCATAGAGTGTTCTCCACAGACAAAAAGGGTAACCCAGGAGAGCAGAATACTTTCCATCTCCATTTTGTATCATGTTTCCTTATGCCTTTCTAGAGACTGTTTTTCCTCTTCCAACCTTGTGCTACCAACAGACTTGCATTCAGTATTAATATATACCAGTGTTTCACATTAATTAAGACAACCCCATCAATCACAGAGTATGTGCATCCTCCTGAAGAGCAAAATTTGCTTGCTGAACAGAAGTGTCACATGAAAACTCACCAGGTCAGGTTCTGACCTCTGTTACCAGACTCCATCAGGAATAACCACAGTGAGGTTGGTCAGGCGAGAAGGGTGTGAACTGCAGATTAGAGCCAGGACATTTAATCTATTCCTGCTGACCATGTTCCCCCTTGTGGCTACCCAAATCCTTACACACTCGTTCATAAATGCCAGTGGGGCAAATCAGGAGGTGCTTCAACAGTCCAAGGAAACTGTCTGGATGTTTGCACCCGCTATTGGTAAGGTCATTTGACAAATAATAAAGGTCATTACCTACAGCTGACCACCAGTTCAACTGCACGTTTGCTGCTCTTCTTATTTGCTAAAACTGTCCAAAAATTCCTGAAGGACTGAAATTTTCTTAATTTGGTCTCAGCCAAAAGCCCTATTTCTCTCTCTCTCTTTTGCTCTGAAAAGAAAACCCAAAAGGCTTTGGATTTTCACCAGGTTGTGGAACACAACAATCACTCTCTTCTCCAGCTGCAGTGATATTAATCACAAGCCCTGCTATTTATGCAGGTTACAATAAATTCTACCAAAGAAATTGGATTTTACATAAATTCAAACTATTGTAACCGAGGATTACCTCTGAAATAGAGAGAACAACACTAAGATTTTCAACAAGTGGGTGAAACGTATCACCTCCAAGAACACTCAACAGGCATCCACTGAGATGCCAAATCCGTGAGGATGGACTTAAATGAGATTTTTCACCTGACTAAACACTTGAGGATTCAGACTGACATTTAGTCAAGTTTAACAAATCCCTGACCTGTATTTCTGACAGGATAACAACACGTTCTTCCTACAGAACAGGACAAGCAGGAGAAGGAAGTGTCTCTGCATTTTAAACCAAAGTTACACTTACAACAAACTCCAAGTAAACACATCCCACACGATTCAGATCACTCTGCTGTCTGGAATGTTATAGCAATACACCATTTTCCCACAAAAAAACACAAACCAGCACGTGGAGGTATCAATAAATGAATGACACAAAGAGTTCAATAACACACTAAGAGCTCAGAGTAAATATTTGCAGATGTTAAGTATCCCAGAGTCCAGTCCTAAAGACAAAACCAATAAAAAAGACAGCTACTGTAAATCAATAGAAGACAAACAGTTGAAAAGAAGAAAGAGTTTTCAGTTTAAGGATATCCTGGATATTGTGTATTAATTATTCTGCAACACCTGCAAGCCCTAATTCATAGGGACCTACTATATGAAATCACATAAAATAAAAATATATTAAAAAAAGAAAAATCACCCCAAAATTTAGTCTGAGACAGGAGATTACACAAGAACACACAGAGAGCAGAAGCTATTAGACTTTGGCTGTGGGATCCACACTGTAGACCACGTAAGATTTTTTTCTAATGGGGGAGCTGGTAGAGAGACAAGTTTAGGTATTTTCCAGCAGGAAAAGCTTCCCCCAGTTAAGGGAGAAGTTTAACAGGTGCCTATAGGCACTCCTCACTCCTGCCATGCAAAACTGACAGCCCAGGCACTGCTTCTTCCAGCAGAAAAATGCTCTTTCAGCAGCCTTCAAGATATAAATCAATGAAAGTCTGTGGAAGTCAATGGACTGTAATAATTTTCCTATGGATGCAAGCAGGTATTTCAGTTCTTGGTGCAGTGGGTGCCTACCAGCACCTGACCCCAGCTTGTATAATCCTCCTCTCAGGGTTCACACACTCTTCTTGCTGGTTCCTAAAAAGACTCTTCCCTCTCCTGTGTCCGAGGTGTTGCCCTGCAGCAGCACCCAACAGGCTGAAAAAAAAAAGCTGTACTACCTCCTTTAAGACTTTCACACTCTTCTCTTTCACATGGGGAGTGTTAAAACTCATTTAAAACCTGGAGATGTGAGTTTGAATTGCTCACATGCCTCCCGGCTGTGCCTTGGGGAAGGGGGGGATTTACCGGGGTTGTGACAGTTCCTCACCTCGCAGGAACTGCAGGGCAGCTTGAAAATGACACACAGCTGACCTGGAGCAGGAGCCACACCAGACTGTGTCTGCAGGTCTGAGCTCACTCAAAGCATGCAGGCACACCTGACAGACCAGGATTTTGGGAAGGAATGGCCAGGAACACGCCTTGGCTGTGCTTGTCTTCCCCCTCGCTCTGCAGGCACTTACAGCTTAAAGAAGTGTGATTTTTTTTTTGCTTTGCAGCTATATAGAGTATTCTTGAAAAATCTGTCAAAAAGTTCTGCACAGAACTGGCTATATTTAGCCTGGCACTTCACTTAAATACTCAATTATCTGTAATTTGATTTCACAACTTCTGTCTCCATAGATTCTCCCTGTGTTAGCAAGGTTAGCAAGGAATAACACACTCCTGGGTAAACATGCTGGTGTACTGTGAAGCTGTACAAACCTAAGGGCTTGTGAGGGCTGGCATGGCAGCCTATCCCAGCTTTATCCAAAATTAGGGACAAATCACAAAGCTTGATGCTAATGTAACAGTACCACACAGCTGAGTTAGTAAACTCAGTTGTAGTAAGCAATTAACTCAAACTACAACAGAGCCCCTTGTATAGATAATGCCCTGGTATCTATTCCCAGTGCTGCCACCAATCCACAGAGTTGGATACTTGAGCACCCTCAGGAGGAAAGCTATAACACAGGGATATTGCTAATCTACCTTAAAAGCTCTCTAAGTAGATTAAGTGTTTTGAGAAGGGTTCTAAATGTTCATCCAAAAATCATCTGAAAATCCCTTAAGCATTTCAGGATACTTTAGCTGATTGTTTTGGTAGCTCCAGACCAGCAGCAGGGTGACAGCTGCTGCCAGCTCTGCAGGACCAACATCCCTGGGAGCAGAGGATGTTCTTCACCCGCTGTCTTAACATCCATGTCAGTAGAACAAACCAGTTTCAGGTGACTGGTGAGAGCAGCAATAAACTCCTAGTTTATTGTTACAGTTTCATTTTGTGCTCATGCAAAGATTTCCATCCTCCTAACTTTGTCTTTACAAATGCCCTGGATGGTTTTACTGCAGCAAACTGCAGCAAAAGACTGGGGCTTGTGAGATTACACGGAGGCTCAATCTGCATTATCTGCATCTAAGTGGCTAAACGTGATCAGATGTCACAGAATGCCTCTAAAAATGCAGGATGTTGTACAATCTTCCTTAGTATTTTAGCATCCAAGGTAGATTTAACAAGCTGAGAATGTGCACCTCAACCTGTTACCCAGGACAGAACAGTTTCTTACTGCAAATGCAGGGTCACCTCCCACAGCTCCAGATTTATCAGTGAGTAAAACCACTGAAAGGTTCTTACCCAATTTTCCCTTAACACATTCCTCATACCCTCCTGTCCACTTTCACACGCCTGCTGGTGCTGCAGCAGAGATTTCTTTGGCAGGAGAGGCACTTGTGAATCAAAGACTCACATTCCACTCGGGCTTAGCATTATCAGGAGCAAGACAATTTGCACAACTGAGAGCTAAACAGCTGATAAACTCAACTACTGCTCCCCTGGGGTCCTCCCTAAATCCAGGCACATTTTATGCCGCTGCAGGGGAAATGCTCAGTACAGGGAAGGATAAGAAAAAAATTATACTGACATCCTGCTGGTATTTATTTAAAATAAAATAAAAATAGTTATCTAAAGAATAACACTTGGAACCGTCTGTTCCTGCTGTGTGCAGGCAGTTCAACTGGGATGTCAGAACCCAGTTATCAAGCACCAAAACAAAAATAATGATGGCTGAAATTGCCCAGAAACAGCCCAAGGTTCTGTCAGCCTGCAAGCTCGAGTACCAAAGCCCAACTGGACACTTGCCACCTCAGCTTGTTTTCTTTACTGTATCCACATTGACTCGGTGTCAGCTGCAGCTCCTCTAGGACAACCCCTCCTATTCAAAGACATAAACCTCAGCCTGACCACACACAACATTTTGCAACTGCCCCAAGAGACACAAACATTTACAGTCCAAGCCGCCTCCTTGTTTTGCTAAGACAACGTGCAACAGTCTAATATTCTTTACGAAAAGTTATTGGAGAACTTCGGCAACACGTGAGTGACAAAAAGGAATCCATAAAAGCACTGCCCAGCCTGAAGGAATCAGCATAAACCCCTTTCTCTCATCAAAAGGGTAATGACAAACAAAAGTGAAACCATAACCATTCTTGTGTTAGTCCACCAAAATAACAGAAAATACCATAGAAATAAGAAGAGCAGAGATTTGTGTTTACCCAGCACATCCTGACACTCTGTATTGAACAAGCGAACGCTCAGGGATTATTTCCCAGGTGATACAAATATTTACTCGGGGAATAGAGGATCCCTGCTGAAGTTGGAGTTACTTTCAGCCCATCTGGCCTTTGTGCAGTTGATAGTCTGCCCCTAAATGGCAGATCAACAGAACTGCTGACAGCACATATTTTCTCACATATGTATTCATAGGCTACGTATCTGGACGTGCAGCTGTCTCCTGATTGCTTCCATCTGACAGAGTAAAGATTATTTTGTCCCCCCCCATCTCATAAGACAGTAATGAAGAAATCTGGACCATATGAACAGCTTATCACTTCAGTGGAGTCACCCCAATAAACAGCAACACATGAGATACTTTTGATAGATGTTCTCAGTTCCACAGAAACTGCTTTATGCAGAAGTTCTTTCCATTTCTGAGATGCAAAATTGTTATCAACACTTTCCTTCTCTCCAGCAACCTTCACTATTTTCCAAGTTTCTGACACTAGGTATTATACAGTAAATAACACAACTTTTCAGTGAACTTGAAGATCCCAGGACACACAAAGCTCTTGCACAAAATCTAACTTTGAGCACACTGGAATTACTACCTTAAGGGTAATTCTGACAGTCTTGGAAAAAGAAATAAAACTCAAGGAAAAGGGATTGCTGAGAGCATCAGTTTAAGGGCTAACATATGGAAAGGAAGATGGTGTGAGGACATGTTGAAAAGAATGTTATTTAACAAGGCATGCAGCATCTACCCCAGAAGATCTGCCCTGAGAGAGCTCTCACACTTTCTCTGGAGGATCTGGAGAGCCCGAGAGGCTCATGGAACTGGAGACAAATCAGAAACACACATCCTTTGTTAGCCGAGAAACAGCCAGGCTGGGTTTCTGTGTTGTTTTTTACAGAGTCTAAAGCACAAACCAAAATATCTTGAAGCAGCTGTTTTGGCCTGAAAACGGTTTTGATGTTGCACCAGCAAAGCTTCCTTTCTGTGGAATTAACCTTTTCCTGAAGCAACCTCCTCAGAAATCCAGGTGCCTTACCGGAAGAAACAGGCGCTGGGCAGCACATGGTTTGAATAACTTCTTCCATTCCTGAGCATTTCCTACTGAGAAGGTTATTGGGTAAATGGTGGATTCAAACTTCTTTGTGTATGAGGAAGGCCACTCCTTTAACTGAAAGACACAATGGGAGGAATCAGAGAGTACATATTATACAGCTTTTTAAAAAAACTGAGCATGCATAAGGAATTTATAGCTGTGTACAGTAAACGAGCTCAACTGCTACTTGTTGATGTCCGTGTAATTCTTCTCAGAGATTTGCAACTCATAACTAGCACGTTTATTTATTTATTTATTTATTTCCCAAATGACAAAGAAACTCACCTTCTTCTCAAATTCAGGCTTAAGGGAATCCTCAGCAAAAATGTGAAAGCAGAGTCTCCTGCTGCTGAAGAGAACCGCTGATTTCAGCATGATCAGCGTCTCCTCCAGCCGGTCCCCACATGCCACCACTGCCAGATGCATGCACTGCAAGGATGAAGGCTCCTTTGGATGTTTCTGTTCCCCAGGCTTCCTGAAAATTCAGAAATAGGCATATAAAAATTACTGAGGCAAACATGAAGAGAATCCCGCATTAACAGACAGCAGGGTTTTTTCTTGCCCTTCCTTGAGTAAGGGGTCAGGAGTTTTTTGTGGTTAGATATCCACAGAACATGCACTGGCACACTCATTTTTGTCAACGGTACAGATCAACAGCGTTACAATTATAACACAAAGGAATTTGCTGTTTTCAGAAATTTCCTGTTATTCCTACATTTCTGGATTTGCATAAATCACTGCACTACAGACACAGATGAAACGAATTCCACAGCACCTCAAACCAGACACCACCTTGCTCTGTGCAAGTGACAGCTCCTTTCCCAGCTCAGAGGTCAGGAAGCCAGAATGGAGTTACTACTACCCAGCCAACTTTCTAACACATTGCAGATCACACAACTACATCCAGCAGCTTCATTCCCAGGCTTATAATGGCTAGACTGGAAGAAGACATCCATACTTTAAAAAAAAACCCCACTCTATCCATATGTAAATTGTTCTAACAGTTAATTAATTTTGCTGTTAAAGATGCATGCCTTAATCCTGGCCTGAAGGCACTGGCACAGTTTCAAAGGATTGCTCTCTATTTCACCCCATGGAATCGCTGAGATTTTGCTAAAATAGAGAATTTTGAAAACAAACAGATTCCCATGTCCCAGATGAGTCAGACTATATTCCACAAGTGGTCAAGGGGCAAACTATGGGGTTTTCACTTAGCACCCACCTGTGTGGGATTTATATACATTTCAGCCAGACTACAGGGGAATATGCACATAAAAGGCACATTGCACCTGCTGGCCAGAAAAATCAGAGCTCTCCTGGGGAGTTGAAGATGTTTTGAAAACACAGTCTTTTGGTTCTGTGTGTCCCCCAATTCAGCGTGGAGCTAAAAACTGCATCCTCCAGGAATGTTTCTACCATGTTGTACTCACTTATATTACATGGGATGAGCTGACCAAGGAACTAAATTAGAAGCACAGTAATCACTCTTGGAGAGTTCAAAAGGCAAATCATAGATCACTGCCCTTTCTGGACATATCTCTGAGCAGAGGACATCAATCCTGGCCCCTTCACAGCACACATAATTACATACACACAATTAATCAGTAAAGTTAATAGTACAAACAGAAGTTCTAAATAAAGAGAAAAATGACAGTTATAAAGCTGTTACTCTTTTTTACAGACATTAGAATGCTGCTTTGTGAAACAACAGAGTTCTGTCTTACAGAGTAACTCACCTCTGTGTAAAGGAACACCATCTACTGGCACTTTACTGACTATCCAAAGCAACATATTTTATTAAGGGTTTAAAGTCTTCTGCTTTAGTCTTAATTAACCCCCAATTTCATCAATGTATAAATAATGGAATACTACATCTATGTGAAGTGGTATTTACTTTCCAACCCATTAGTGTAAAATCTGCTGAATTATTGAAGTGAATAATTAGCTGCTCACACAGATCACCTTTTCCCCCTTCTCCCTATCTGTTTAATGTTTCCTCTTAATTGAGTCTCTAAATCAAGCCATAGGCAGGCTGGGAGCTGCTTTGATGTAGCTTGTGGCAACGGAATTCACTGGGAGAGGGACTAAACTACACTTTTATTGCAACATTTCAAAACCCAACACCAAAGCACTCAGCTTGGCTGTGCAGTTTTAGCCACGAGCTCTCCATTATGCAGCTATTTTGCAGTGAAAAATCCAGTGTGTGTAGACAAGCACTTCCAATGGACAGGCTCAGCAGAAGCAACCCTTGATGAAAGCAGAATTCCCAGTAAGCCCATGGGAGTAGGAATAACAAGAGACAGCAAGTGGAGGAGAAAGCTGAACCTTGGAGGTAAGGAATTATCAGTTGCAAAGGGGGTCAGGAGCGTGTAATGGCTTAGGGGGGAATAAAAATCCCTGAGAAAAGGGGCACGAGGTAGTACTTGAACTATGCCAGTAACAGTCTGGGACACTGAGGGCAACAGTCAGTGAGGAAAGTCACAAAGAGGTACAGAAGAATTTTGGAACACAACATTTTGCATATTTTTTATAAGTACACAAAGAAAACTAGAGGATTGTGGAAACAAAGGTGAGCTGGAACGGGAGATAAAGTGTCACAGCAGGATGCATTTGACTACAGTTTTAACCTAGCCCTTAAAAAATAACAATTATCATCCATAAGTCTGAGGAGAGGAAGGTGTAAAGGCAAAGTTAAACTGCCAGGAAGGCAAATGAGCAGATCACAGCAAAGAACATCACAGCTCCCCTTCCCTCCTCTGTTCATCCACACACCTACACACAGTGCAAGGAGCAATGGAAGGGACAGGGAGAAATATCAGCTGGATGAAAGGATATTCCCTAAAGATGTGCAGGATACAGCCGCATTGTCCTACCTGTACAACAGGAACAGCTGTTAGAGCAGTAAGAGTTCCCCACCTCAAGACTCTCAAGCACATTAAAAAGCCCATAGATCCACATTAGCCAATTCTTCCTAGCATTTATATGCACATTCATCCATCTATACTCCAAGTTGCTGGTTATGAATAGAGCCTATAATCAGATTTTATAACATAAATTAAAGGTTTAAATGCATCTAAATCAATACAGTGACCTGGGCCTTGAAGTTTAATGTTTTTGACAGGAACAAATAAAGAAAGATTAAGCTCTACAGAAAGCATCACAAAATACAGACTTGATAAGATGGAGCACAATAAAATGTTTATAGCAAAGACCTCCCAACAATACAGAGCAGCTCCCATCCAGTTGTTCACTGGTATTTTATTTACTGCCTACATTTTTTTCAGGCAGGCACTGACACAGCAGGAGCAGCCTGAGTGCTCAAGCACAACAGTGTACATTTCTAGGTCTTAAAGTTTAGATTACATGTAATTTTCTTATTAGTCACAGTCAAAGTGTCTCAAACATAATTAACCCAAAACCTGTCTAAATCAATCCAAATCCATTCAAAATAATGCATTCCCATCTCATTACAGAGCCTGCTAATCTATTCAAGCCTTCAAATTTATTCCTGAGAGGAAGATAATGCATGCAGATTCTTACAAAATGCAATATAGTTGTTAATTTTTGAAACCTTCTTCATATTATGATCTCATTTACCGTTGCAGCACAAACAAGGTTCGATTTAGGCGTTGTATCCAAACTGGTGATTCACTGAACAGGCTCCTTCCCTGACAGTCACCCCTGAGTCAATGTCCCAACAGCAGCTCCATGATATGAAACACATTTTCTTACACACTTTAAAACATAAATTAGAAAGGCTCTAAATGTTTTGAAACAAAGTTTTCTCACTTCAGTGGAGTTGCACAAAACCAACTGTAGCTGCTGATAATCAAAAAATCAAAGTTTCAACCTCCTCTTACTACTCAGAGAAAGGGGAAAATGACACTCAAAACCAGAATGGGTGTTTCTGCCTCCCGTTATCAAGTGAGTTCTTTGTGAAACAAGTATTAAATACTTGGGGCTTCAGCATGTTATTATCAAACTCAAGCCAAACTTGTATGTGTGTGTACACAGGCTGCAAAGGGAGAAAAAGTGTCTTGACAGGTTGCCATGCAAGAGATGTTTTGCTTTGGAAAAGTTACTTTCAGGGAACTAAATGTGCTGGCAAAGGTTCCCTTCCTGAGCCTTGCCACGCTGGTTTAACAGAGAGCATGGTCACATCTGCCCCTCAAATGTAAAATAACCCTTCTGCTTTTGGATACTTTGCACACACTGGTTTGGCACATACTTAAAATTTCTCATATAAAAAATGTCTTACTGAAAGCCTAGGACTTGCTACTTCCTATACGAAGGAGCAGTAAAACCACCATCAAAAATCAGTTTTCAAAGCTAAGCAGAAACTTAAATGCAGTGCTCACCTAGATTTGCCAAAATTATCTAAAGGCCAAAGCAAGACCCATGAATGTCACTGATAACATTTGCTAAGTACCAGCCAGCTAACAATATGAGCATACATGAAGCTTTTATCATGTATAACTGCTTATGTTAGAAGAAATCCGTACTTAAAACCTAAAACCTGATGTGTTCTGTCATCATGTGAACTACAGAAAGCAGAATTACAAATCCCAGCTAAAATACAATTCACCTTCCCTGCAAGGTGCTGATTCTCCTAAAGCAAACACATCCTAGAAAATGCCTCTGTTTCTGAGCTCAGCCCAAAACCTGCATCCTCTGACCAAACTACACAAACCAACTTGGCAAAACTGAATTGAAACAACTTTTTACATTCACACAGACAAAACTTCACTAAGGTTTTGTGAATTGATTATGCAGTCTCATGTAAGCACGAACAGTGTGATCACATCACAGGATCTTGGCCTGTCTCTTATGCTCCAAGTTCAAGCCCCTCACACGCCTTTCGGTCTCACCTGGATCAGGACTTTTAAGCCCAGCAGATCCTACCACCTGCTGCTTTCCCAAGAATTCAGGCACCACCTCCACTTGGACCAGGTTATGTCATACCTGCCTCACAAAAATTCCTTTTATGGAGACTCTTACTCAAATAAATTAAATCAACCTTCAGCAAAGGGCAGAACTGGACCCACAGAATTGTGCTTCTCAGTTATACAAACTGCTGGGGCCAATGGTGCAGGATCATGAGGGAAAAAAACAACAATCAAACCTCTAAACAAACAATATTTTGAAGAAAAGGCATGGTTTGAATTCCTCTTCTGTTGTTTGTTGCTGTGTTGCAGACCTTGTAAAAAGTACTTGCAAAGTCAATAAATAATCAAAAAGTTAGATAATGTCAAAGTTTGAAACATGAAGATGCTTCTGAGAAGCTCATTGAAATGGAACAGTTGTTTACACTCTTTGGCAGTTCCATACTTTCAGGGCTCCCTCCTTCAGTGTTCTTCTTGATTTCCATGATAATCACAGAGATATGCCTTAAAGAAAAATGACTTCAGGAGGTACAGTTGCTAGTGGAAATAATCCTGCTTTAATACAGGCATTTGGATTCTGCCCGTGACCCATTCTCAGCCCCAGTAAACATCTCCTGCATTCAGTGGGGTAACAATGCTGGTGAGAAACCAACTGCCTTAATAAGTTAAGGAGTAAGAGCTCAAAAAACAGGAATAGTCTTTCATTCAGAACATCCCTGTGAAATCATGAATCAAAGACACAAAGACATACCAAGTTAATTAGATATATGAGGTCACACTGACCATAATATAATTGGAATGCAAAGGGGAAAACAGTCCTCCACCCACCGAAAGCTGCCAGGGTCTCTTTCTGAACTAATTGGGGTTTTTTAAATACTCTGCCTGTAAGGTGCTGGGAGAGGAAATACAACACACCAGGACTGCGAACTTTTTTTAAAAGTTATGCGTAATGAATTTACATAGAAAAAGCATTCAAAACAAAAAGCTCGAGAGCTCAAAATGCACTGGTGCCTCCGCAGTTTGGAACCCAATGGTATCACACAGCAACAACCAGACACCTTCCCTAATGGGAAACCCGCAGAAGCGAAGCTCCCGAGGTGACAGCAGCTCCTCATTCCGGCCAGCGAGTACCTCACTGCCCCCGTCAGCCTTCGAAACAAGGCCAAAACTAATGGAAAAGCAGCTATTTCAGAAGCTGTGCTCGCACAGCCTTGCAAAGGAGGGGACCCGCTGCTCGGACCGAGGGACCGGCGGCGGAGCGAAACCCTCCCCGCACCTTCGCGGCGTCTCTGGCAACCGCGCTGCGAGTGGAAACTACGCGGGGAAAAGTTCATACTTCCAAACCAGCGCAGTTTGCACAAGGGTCTCCCATCACCGGTCACTCGCGGAGGCGACGGGAAAACACCTGGGAGAGGGAAGTGCTGGAAGCACCGGCGGCGGCGAGAAGGGACCAGCCGGGGGGACCCGCGGGTCACGCGTGGGGCTGGGCACGGCCGGCACAGGGGGGGTTCCGCGGGCAGGGGCCGGGGGACGGGGCCGCCCCCGTTACCTGTGGCCGGCGGTGCCGCCGCTCCGGCGCGGGGGGCTCCGGCCGAGGCGCGGGGGGCGGCGGGCGGGCGCGGAGGGCGCGGGCGGCGGGGCCGCGCTGCCCGCCAGCAGATACAGCAGCAGCAGCACGGCGAGGCACAGCAGGGCCGCCGCCACCTTGCAGGGCCGCCGCATGGCCGGTCAGCGCGGCCGCATGGCCGGGTCCCCGCGCCGGTCCCGCCGCCCCAGCCCGGCCCGAGCGGGGACGTGGCCGCCCAGCCCGGCCCGGCGGGGCGGGGCCGCTACCGCACTGCCCTACCGTACTGTCTGGAGTAGCCGCCGCACGCTTGGGGAAGTCTCGTCACTTACCAGCCGCAAGACCAATAAAGCTTATTATTGATTAATAACTCCAGCAAGGAACGCCAGGCAGGGCTCCGCGCCCCGCTGTTACTCCGAGGTACCTCTGATTTCACGCCTGTGCAGGTGCGCGGTGCTGGAAGGGGTCAGTGTTCACAGGAAGGTGAGCAGGAGGGAAAGGGGAGAGAGGGAACTGGGCTCTGAAGCGCCTTTCGTCTGTCTGTGCGAACATCAAACTGGTGCTGAGCTTCCCTCCCTCCGCCTTGCAGCCCCAGTTCATCACCTTCATACACGCTGTTCTCATCCCACCTGCTACGACGGCAGGTTGTACGGCAATAAACTGCAATACTTGTAGGACAGCGAAGGAACAAAACATTCACTCCCTTCTGTGCAGCTTTGGACTTGTCCCCGTGTGACCCACCTTAGCTGGTCTTCTGTGCAACATCATCAGAGATTACCACACTGTGAATTTCATGGAAATAAATCCTACTTCGGTTCATAATCTGATTTATGACCTTTAAATGAAGAGAATGACAGAAATGCAAGGATTCTTGTTGCCCCATGGAGCTGGAGCATAAACTTTGCATGGAATGGAAATGTCAGCACTGCAATGGGGAGAGAAGGGAAAGTGGAGCCTCACAAGTCCCTCACAGAGTCAGCACTGGAAGTGAACTTGGTTGTGCTTGGCCTTCACTACTTAAATGGCATTCACTTGGCAGAGAAACTCTGCAGCCTGTCCATTTTACACTGCTGTCACCACATGCCTTTACCAGTCGTATCCCAAAATGTACTTTACCTTAGTAGTAGTGGAAATGCAATGAACAACTACTGTTTCAGAATTTCATCCAACTCGGTTTCTGGCCAGATATATTTTTTTTCCAAATTAAGATGTGCAAATATCAACTTTCCCGTGCTGCCAGCTGCATGCTCACCCAAAATCAGTTCCATGGCTGGGCTGGAACAGAATTACAGTGCACCCTTAAATCAATGTTGCTGAATCTGCTGCACTCTCTGATGTTCAATTTTGGCAGTAAAGCAACGGACTGGCCACAATGTGCAGCCTTGATATGTGACAGTGGCTGTGATCAGTCAGAGTGATGGCTTGGATCTATAACAATAAAAAAATAGGGAGCCACATATTTTAGACTTGAACAAATTTATTAATATCAAGTGTGTTCAGTGTATTTTATATTGCAGACACATATCATGGCATCATCAAATATATTAAGAGGTTAATCATTCAAAGGCCTGTGTTATAACGTACTTTTTTTTAGTGTAGCTCTGTAAAGCACTGATTTAAAGCATAGTTATATTTTGAGAAAATCTTAAAAATTAAGCCCTCTCAGTAATTTTATATGTTTTGGGCTACTGTTTCTAAGGTTGTATAAGAAGACCTATTCTCTGCAGCAGCCAAAGAGTCAGACAACCCTGTAAAAACAAGAGTAAATGGCTGGGTGAAAAAAGCCAGGTTCCCAGGAACAGGGATGTAACAGACCTGCACCTTCTGCAGATCAGTCACAGAAAGAAAATCATACCACATACTATCTAGGGAGTAATACATTTCAAAAATTCACTGTCCTACATCTGAGCTAAAAACCCAGACTAGCAAACAAAGGTGTTTACATGCTGCTCCTGGAGTAAAAGTTGAACGATTCCAAGGACTTTTAACATAACAGCCACAGCAGATCCCTGGAGAGCTGTTAAAGAACCTGAAAGTTGCTTCAGCACAAACCCCCCCACATTTGGCCCAAATCCATGTCATACCCAGTGTGCCTCTGGGCTGCTCCTGGGTCATTGACCCAAGAACTCTCCTGCAATCAGTGGCTATCAGCTCAGGGTCTCACAGAGGTTCATTTGGGCCTCTGTTACTGGAATTCCAGTTTATGTCCTTCCATCACTAAGAAGCCAATCTCCAACTTGATCTCTCACACTCAAACTAGGCACTTGGAGATGTGTCTGGCAGGTAATGCTACAAAATGTAACACCAAGAGACCCATTACAAACCTACACCCCTGGCTGTTACCACTTTATCCTTGTAAAGATTTGCAAGTTTGATCCTGGATTTATGAAGACCATCACCCTGTGCTTATCTGAGACAGCACAGAAGGTCTTTGTGATCCAGGATCCTTCTCTGGAGAAATAGAATGAGAAGCTTCTTTATCTTTGGATAATGGAAACTGCAAGAGGAAAGAGCAAAAATAAAGCTATGGAGATATCCTGATATTGTGGCCACAGTACTTCTGCAGGTGAAACAGTTAAGGATTATGAACTCCTGGAAAATCAAATCTATGGGGAAAGGAAATTCAGATTAAAATGCATTAGATTTGGAGGCATGCTTCAGGCCACTTAGACAAAAGAAGTCAAAATACTTGTTTTTCACTTGTTTTCAAAGTTAAAGGGAAGAATAATATGAATTTTGCTCAAGTGTGCTATTTCCATCTCAGGAAAAGCCCTCAATTATTGTTTACATTGTTAATTTATACCAAATTTTTGCTAAGTGTAAGTCTAACAACTACAGAACTACTCCTAGTTGTTTATAGAAATTATTACACTGATAATTTAGACAATGGAAAATAGCAATGTGTTGTATTGTATTTTATAGTGTATTTGACAGAGAAATGTGTTTCTGATTGAAACCTATGCCTAATTTATTTCCATTTGTTTCCTACATAGAGAAACCATTTTATTCTTCATTTTACTTGTTAAACTAAATGCATACTCTGTATCTGATTACCATTGGTATGTACGTGCCAATTATATATCCAGAACACATTATGTATCATATCTGTGAGATTATGCCAGATTTACTTGTTACTATTAGCCACGTAGAGTCAAATGTGCTCAGAAATTGCAAAGCTTCATGTTTCTATTTTTCAAAGGAACAGCAAGTTTTCCTAATTACTTGCCCAAAACACTGTAGATAATGTTTTTTCATTCTTCAGTGCTGCATTAAACATATAGCAGCCAAATTAACTTCTTCATCAGAGAGACGCACCAAGAGATGTAAAGCGGTCTTTGTACATTTCCAAATAAAACTTTTTATTACAGTTCTAAAAAATTCAGTATGCTTTTTACAGAAGAAAGCAATAAACATTCCTTAGAGAGGCTCCTTCATACTTTACTTGGATGGAAAAGCAGAATGGCTGAGGCACCAGCTTCTTCACTGAAATCAGCATATAAATAGTTCTTTCACAAGGCAACTATTACCAGAAAAAAAGGGCTGGGAGTTCTTAGAGTCTAAAAAAATGATAGTGAGGCAGTATTGGAAAGTATCAGTTAGACAAGAATAAACCCTCTAATGAAACTTCTTATCTTTTATGGACTTGTCCTGCAAATTTGAATTTATGTAGAGAAGACGGTGCCTACTGGTTCATAATCCAGCTTCCTGTCCAATATTCTTATTATAGATTACATTGGTAAGGTCCAAAAGTTAATTAGTGCAGAATTCCTCTGGAAATGCATCAAAAGTTTCTAAGGACATGATCGAAGCCTTGGTCCAAGTCAAATCAGCATCTGAAATTAGATGCCATTAATTTCTTATTATAACAGAAAATGCATTTTATATGCCATGTATCTTCAATTTCTGCAGGAGAAAAAGTGGGACACAAGGAAGTTTAGGCAGAATTAAAACCGTACATCAGTTTTAGATCAGTGGGGAGAATGATCTATTTTGAAGCAAATCATTTGATTTTTGTGCAGTATTTAAACTGCTGGTTCAGTTCTGCACAAGAACGAAGAAGTTATCCCATGAAGAGATGTCATATTTAGTGGATTTCCAGCCTGGGGGATTGTTTGTCTACTTTTAAAGAAAAATTTATTAGCAGAAGTTATGTAATTATGCTTTCTCCCTCCAGGAAAAATGTTTGAATGCATCTCAGAGGGGGCAGCAAGAGGAAGATAGTCAGCAGTATTTAAAGATGCAAAGAATTATCTGGAACCAGAATACCTCTCATGGTCTAATGGCAGGAAAATCAGACTAATTCTACATTAGGCGCTATATTTAATAAATTACGGCCTTTAAACCGACTTTTCTGCTTTTGGCAATTTTTTGAGCTTCTTGTTGCATTTGCTCCTTAATGCTGCATTGTAATTCATCAGGATCTGCCTCTTTTCACACTGTCAGCGTTGTTCTGCATTTATCCAATGGCTTAGAAGAGATGTAATTGGGAATTCCTACTCCGACAGTGCTCACAGGATCACTCCTCGGTTTGCTGATCTACCTCCCCTGCAGCGAAGTGTGAACACAACAGAAATAACAGGACATTTGCTCACATGAATTAGTCCTGGAGTAACCACTGTTTTCATAGGAAAGAACAAACCAACTCTTCCACGCACTAAAAACTGTTTGATTTCCACTTATGAAAAGCAGCTGAAATAAAACATGCAGAGCGCGTGCAATACATTTTATGCAACTGCAGGTAAGAATCCATTCTTTCCATTTCTCGAGGGGGTGGATTCTGATTTTTAGCCAGAACAACTTAGGTTTTACACAGTTACACTGACCATGTCCACACTAACTGTTAACCATTTCCTTTCTAGCAACTCTGGGAGACATCGCGCAACTCCATCAGATTTTTAAGAGCGACTCGAATTTAAAGATGATGTCTGAATTCCCGTGTATTTCGCGAACGCCAGCAGGAGTACAGATCAGCAGCCGGCTGTGCCCAGCTGCCCGGGCACGGCGCTCCCTGAGGGCGGCCGCAGGGGCCGCCATTAAGGGGTGGGGCGCGCCCCGTCTGCGCCTGCGCGGCCCCGCCCCCGGTGCGGGCGGGCGCGGGAAGCGGCGCGGGCGGTGAGTGGCGGCGCGGGCGGGCGTGCATGGGGCTCATCATCCCTTCCTCATCCCCTTATCCCGGGGCTCTTCCCCCTGGGAGCCGCCTCCTTGGAATGCTCTGTCCCGCTGGAGGGCTCGGGAGGATGGCCCCGAGGGGTTACGGGCGCAGGTGGGCCCTCGGCCCGGTGTGAGCCAGCGGTGGAAGGTTGTGTTTTACCGGACCGCCCCCGTCCTGCTCCCTGCGCGTTTCCCTGGAGCGCAGCGGTGTTTGCTCGGGAAGGGCTGGGAAACGGGATTATTCGGGATACAAGCGCCTTCAGCGGCGTCTTGGCGCCGTTCATCAGCCGTGAGATACCAGGGGGGTTGTGTGGCAGCCTCCGGAGGGGTTTGGGGTCGTTCCTTTGGGTCAGGGATGCTCCAAGTGCAGCAGCAGCGCAGGGACGGCTGGGCCTGGCTTTGGGACTGCTCTTAATAGATGAAACTTTGACTTAAGGAAATAAAACTTGCCGATTGACACCCCCTGAGGGGTCTAACCGAGCGGCTGGATTTTTGTATCCCAGTTTGCGGTGTTGAAGTAGACAAGAAGAAAGCCCATAGCGCTGTACTTTCGATTTGCAGGTGTTCCCTATCCAGGCACAACTTTATATAAACACCTGGCAGCTTTTCAGCCTGGAAAGGGTGGGAATGTTGCCCTTGAATTAAGTAGTACGGTGCAATGGGGAGTTTAATTTTTTTCACGTGTGCCAAATGAGGTAGATTACCCATATGAAGAAAAAGGTAATCTGTTAATTTGGCCCTGTTAATGGTTAGTGGTTGCTGTCTGTTCATGAAATTGTCACAAAGGGGATGTATTTAACAAACATTTATCTGGGAAAGTGCTACTTTTCACTCACTTTCACAGTTTAGTTCTATTCTGCATTTTTTGGCTAAAATATTTTTGTTTTAAAAGGTTAGTTTTCAAAACTGTGTGGCCATTTGTAAACATGCCCTCCCCAAACAAACGAAACTCCAGTCCACAGCTGGATTCCACCTGATGAATTATCTCGTATTTAGAAGCTATTGAAGAGTCAGACAAGTTGTATATTGGGTGAATAGTTCTATGTAAATTCCTTCTCTCGTGCTAAATATGTACATGTGCTAGTGTGTATACACACATGTGATTCTGATGGATGTTCATCTAAACTGACCTTGCATCTGTTGCTTCTTTTTCTGACCAATGTGCGTGTGAACTATAAAATACAGCTCTATTTTTTTTTTTTTGCAAGTTTTACTCTTTTTCAGTGTTTTCTAATAGTGGTTTGTGATCAGTTCACTAAAGAACTGTAAAGGTCTATATGTGAGATTATAAATAACAGTTACAAAAAGTTGAAAAGTTTTAGGGCCGAATTCAGTGTGGGTTTTTTATGTGGAATATAACAGGTGCTTTTTGCATATATTAACATTCAGGTGTTTCATTAAGGTGCAGAGGTGGTACCTTCACATTCTGGATAACACTTTGATGTTGTTGTCATGAGTGTTTTCTTCTTGAGCATGTGGAAGATCATTTTGTGAGAATCTGAAATGTTCTTCTCAACAAATTCTGAAGAGACACAATTTGCTCTCATAAACTGGAAACTACAATAATCTTTTTCTTATTTTTATAGGGCCACACAGTCATTGCTTTTCCTGCTGGATCCATCATGATAACTCCAGCTTTTGAACTGACCCAGGATCTGGATTTTCTCACGATAATAATCAGAGTACCTTATGCCAGAGCTTCAGAGTTTGATGTGTATTTTGAAGGGGAAGACTTTAAATTTTATGCTAAGCCATACTTTCTCAGGCAAGTAGTGGAAAAACTTCTAAAAATTTGAACTTCATAGTAGAGATTGAACTTAATTTTGGCCCCTCCAGAACATTCCTCATTTGCAGCTTTTACAAGGGTGGCTGCAGACAGCCCACTTCATGCAAAGATCTGTTATTTTGAGTCTGGCCTCTTTGTTCTTAGGCATTAAATCACATTAAAGAGAGTTGAAAGAAACTTTTCTAAATTTAACTTACAATATATTTTTAATTGTGAGATGGCCAGACAGTTCTCTGGCTGTAGTTTTGTAGAACAAGTGTGTCTTTTCCTGAGAGGAATCCATGGGGATTTAACTGCGTGGCTTCCATTTCTGTCAAAAGGAGTCACGTAGTCTAATCCTTTGTGCTGCTTTTGGAATGTGCCTTACATTTTTATAGGCTGAGATGTTAAGTTGCCTCATTGAAAGCCTGACTAATTCTGCATCTCATTTTTTGCCCACAGATTGACACTTCCTGGGAGAATTGTAGAAGATGGCAGAGAAAAAGCATCCTATAATACAGATGAAGGTATTGGTTCATGTTATTGGTATATATGTCATTAAAAATGCTACTAACTCCAGTAATTTATACTTGAAAACAAAAAAGCAATAAAGCCTATAAATTTGTTGCTTGCAGAATGTTTATTACATGCTTGACTTAATCAGTTTGCTGAAGGAGTTTCTTATGATCTTCTGTAACTTGTTTGGTGAAAGGATTAAAAATAAAACAGAGCTTGTATTCTTCTGTTGTTTTGTGTTTATACAATGTGAGTCAGGAGACCACAACTGGTTAGATATTCTCTTTGATGTTTTATCATTAAAATCTTTGAGCTTTGTGAAATAAGGTTAAAAACATGCACAGAGATTGATGCATAATGAAATGCTACCAGTATGTGTCCCACTTCCTCTGAGCCTTTTTGATGAGAGGAAAAATGCACATTTTTGTTTGTCTTGGATATTTTAATGCACTGACTACGTTCTGGCTTTCTTTTAAGGAACTTTTACAATTCGGTTACCCAAGGAGGTTCCTGGCCAGTATTTTGAGGGCCTGGACATGCTGACATCTCTTTTAGCACCAAAGAAATCAAGATCAGCAAAGCCTTTGGTAGAAGAGATAGGTATGATAAGAAAAATCGTGTTTATACTGATGATATATGTACATAATGAAACAGTTTTAGATCTAAAGTGATATATGTGGAAAAATACAGTATCTATTACTGGCTAGTCCTAGGTGTGAGAAGGGTATGAATAAATGTAGAAATAAGTATGTTGTAGACAATATACATGTCAGCTTTATAGGTTATGTTAAAATTTTTCCAAAATGTGCTTTAAAATATGCTAATTCTCTGTAGATCTTTGTACCCCTCTAGTGGCTGTAGAGCACACACACATTGGAGTCTTCTGCTTTCTACAAACTACCACAACTGGACTTTTAGCTCATATGAGCAGCTGATTAAAACCCCAGGTTCTGATGGATGTCTTGCTTAACATCGGTATTTAACAGACAGAAATGTTTGACTATCTCTGTTTAAACTTTTAGTACCTATCTTAAATTATTGATAACATCACTTCTGTCAGGGTCCTCTTAACATCAAATTCTGATCTTGTTGAAATCAGTGGAACAAGTATTTCAGTCTTTGAGGGAGTACACTTAAAAAATTTAGTATTCCTGGTCTTCAGTTTTGAAAGTGGGAGAGTTGGAAGCAGGACCTATGGGTCACTGACCTGTATGACCCCCCAGTGTTGTGTAAGATTTCTTAAAAGATGTAGTAAAATGAGAAAGGCTTTCTGTGCTACCAGTGTTTGCCTTTCTAGGAAATCATATATATGTTTTCTGTGCACTGATTTTCTTTCTCTGACCATGCAATATATGCAGCTGCCTCTGCTGAGCTGTCTGAGGAGGAGGAGGAAGAAGAATTTGACTGGGAAATAGAACAGACCCCTTATGAAGAAAGTTCAGAAAGCACTCCACCACTGCAGCACCCTTATGGATTTGGGAATTTGCGGTCAGGGGTGTTCCAGAGGCTGCAGGTAGGTGCATTTTTGTCTTTTCCTGTCATAAAAGTTCTGTTTAACTGGCTGTGTAGGCTCTCTGGCTCACAAGGCAACTTTTGAAGAGTGGACTCTTCAAGGTGTCTGTCCACCTGGTGTCTGGGGTTCACTAGCATTATGCTGAGGCATCTAAATTTGCTTTTGTGGGTTGATTGGTAGGATAGGAGACTTCAAATGCTGTTACTCTGCTCTCGTGCCTTCAGCAGTTTCTTTTAGCCATGGATTGATTGAAACTAATCTAAAACCTGTAGCATGCTGAGTAGTACAACAATACTTGTAGTCCACAGCACTGTTATTAAAATAGATGATGATTTTTTGTAGTGTTCTTGCTCTAAGCAACTAAGTTGTAGCTGTTTAAAGCAACTTAATTATGTAACTCTAATTATTGCAGGAATTGTAGTATTTTCAGGTTTTGGAGCAGAAGGATTGCTATTTATGGAGAAAGTATTTATGTTCTGTTAGAATATACATACTGGTTTACTTGTGAAGAAATACATTTCCCAGCAGCATTAAAGTACCACTGCTTAATGATGTTTAAAAGGGCACTGCAAGTGCCTATTAATTCATGTACAGCCACTTCAGAGAGTGAGAGTAATCTCAAAAGTCACAAGAACAGTATCTGTGATTTTTATCTTGTCTTCGTTGTGGTTGTGTGCTTTTGTTAAATATTTCAACTTTTACAATAATGCAAAATAACCTCCCTGCCTTATGATAAAATGTCCTAAATAGACTTAATAACATCATGAATTCTAAGAGGCTTCAAATAATTGCATTTCCTTGGAATTTGGATGTTTCATTTGCACAGTGAAGGCAGAATTTGGAAAGGGAGGTTGAAGATCCGGGGATTTCAGTGTAATGCTGATCCCTTCCTAAATTATTACTAAATCAGTCTTGCATGTCATACGTGTGGCTTGGTCCTATAACTTTGGCTCCCTTTGCAGGATGAGCTCAGTGATGTGATTGACATCAAGGATCCAGACCAGACTCCTGCAGATGAACGAAGGAGGAGACGCCTGGAAGCTGAGGCTGCCAAGTTTGAGCCTGATCATTACCTGTGAGTATTGATTGACCTCATCTGCTCAAGGAGAGGTACCTCAGCTGAAATACATTCACTTTTCCTTTTCATAAATTATTTGGTTTAAAGATCATGTCTGGAAAGAATAATTTCACTTTTCATTTGTCTCTTTCTTTGTCTCATCAGGGCAGGCCCTGGAGGGTTTTCTTAGTGTGACACACAAGACATTGCCCATCTGTTTTGGGGTTACTCAACTGTTTAATTACTGCTTAAGTCCGTGTTCAAGTGGGGCTGCTGTGAACTCTTGCAGAACATTGTTTCATAGTTCACCTCTTCAGCAGCTGAGCAGCCAATCCCTGCCAGCATTTTGGGTTGTAGATGTCAGAACTTTGTTTTCCTCTTGTGAAACAAGGATTAATGAACCATCCTGGTCTATGAGGAGGTAATTTCAGTTTTGAAGTTAGGAATATTTTGTCTTGGCCACTTTGGTTTTTGCTTTCACATGAAAGCTGTTTTAAAGCAGAATGAGGAAAAGTTCCAAATCAAAACATTGTGTTTCTTTTGTGCTACTTTGTTTCTTTTGTGCTTCATTCCATGTAATGAACATGGAAGTGATTCTTCGTGTTCTTTTCAGGTTGGTTTTTTTCAGGTCAAGTTAGGTTTAGAAGCTCTAAATAAAATAAGTTGGAGCCATGAGATCTATTAATATACATTGGTTTCTGCAAGATGATTTTGGTGGGGGAAGAGTTTAGTCCCCAGTAGGGAGAACTAGTCCTCTGGTGTGTTTTGTGGGGGTCAGGAAGGCTTTACCCACTCTGAGTTTTTTCAGAAGGTATCTTTGCAAACCTGGAATTTTTCCCCAGTTGGATGTTTCAGAGGCAGCCTCATGTCTTTCTGTAGCACACAGAAAATAGAACAGCTTTCTGGAAATATCACTTGGAAGTACATTTCACTAGAACTGAAGTAGTTCCTAACCTATAATGGGATGCAAATTACAGTAATTCTAAGTTTCCACTTTAGACTCTGTGTTCTGGCCTGGTAGATGAGTTACACCATTTAGTTTAATGGCTGTGTTTTGGTTGCTTCAGAACAGATGATCCCAGCCTTTCTTCAAGAAAAATTGTTTTCCCAAGTACCCTGATTAAGAACAGAAGCTCTGGGAGAAATGGTGGCAAACAAGTGTTCTGGTGCCTTTGAGCAAAGTGTACACTGACTGATATCTCTAAGTGACTTTATAATGACATTGAAGGAAGGCAACAAAAACATCTGTCAGCATGAGAGTGAAGCAAATTCCATTCTCTGTTCGGTAGACTGGGCAGGTTTTGTGTGGTGATTAAGAAGGTTTTAAGAAATTTCCTGCAGTTTTTTTCAGTTCTCTGTATTTATACCATTGTTTGGCTCGAAGAAAAAGCTCATAGGGTAAAAGGAGGCTTAGAACTTGAGTCCTTTAGTAGAAATCCTCCCAGAATTACTACATTGAGGTTTTTACCACAGTGGCTTTGTGCTGAGATGGATGTAATCTCTCTTCCAGAATTCATGTACAACTCTTCTTTTTCAACTTTCCTGCTTCGTGTCCTTGTTTACCTCAAAGTCCATCCCTACTTTGTGTTTACCCTTCAGCTGCACACCCTTCCTCCCCACGGAATACCTAGTTCTTGAGTGGGAGAGCTTCCCAGTAAAACCAAGTGATTTGTCTGAGGAGCCTTCTCTTTGGAATATTTTCCTTTTAATACATCCAGAACAAATCATGTTTGTTCAGCTTTGTGTCATGCTGCAAGCTCATCAACATCCTGGGATTCTGGGTGGCTCAGGGAAGGTGGAAGAAGTAAGGAAGGGATACTATAAGATAAGAGAATGTTGTTTATGCTTTTAATAATGATTATTTTCTGCTTTTAAGTCAAAGAACATATCTCTAATGTGTGGAAAATAGCCCAGAACCCAGTGAGGTGTATTTTATATGTGCATTAATATATACCCACATGCACTATGAACTGAAATAAATAGCATATGACTTTTCTCTTTCTTTTCCCTAGAGCTGATTTTTTTGAAGATGAAGCTATTCAGCATGTTTTAAAGTACAAACCCTGGTGGGTTGATGCACATAAAAAGCTGACAGCCTTGCAGAGGGAAAGTCATCAGGAACATGACACTCATACATTTGGTGAGAACATGCTTATATATCTATCTATCTCTTATATATGTATCTGTACACACACCTGTTGCTTGAATGATAATTGCTGTGATGCCATGTTATGTTCTAGGTTATTGTTCTTGAAGGAAATTTATTACTTTACTATTATTTTTGTGGGTCTCGGCCTTTTTTTGAAGGAAAATTGTGTCTTTTTAGAAACCTAAAGGGATGTTTTCAGGGTTAGTAGATGGCCTTGTAAGAGCACTGTTAACAGATAACTGAGGTCACCTCCCTGCACACAGTGACTGCAGAGAGCACTGCAAGTTACTATTATGCATATTCTTCTATTGTCCTTTGCTCATTTCCTTTGTAGTATGAAAATCTGATATTGAAAGTAGATAATGATAATCCCTTCACCAAAGGTTCTTAGTGCACTAATAATACCTGCACTTTCACATTTGCTACAGGAGAAGAACAATGGAATTTGGGTAAATGTTGTGTATTTTACTGTGAATGTAATCTGATCTTCATTCCTGGTCTCTTTTCAGCCTCTGAAGCAAGAAATTGTTAATTATATCCATCATAAATATTTGATTTAAAAAGCATTGGACAAAGGTACAAAGAAGCTTCAAAACAGAATAATGAGGGGTTCTTTTGTTTGTTTTTATCCATTCACTCCTTAGTAAATGAAACACTCTTACTGTTTGCCTGTGTTAAGGAATATCATTAAAATGAAGAACTGCTGGATGATTTTATTGAGGAAGGTATTGAGATAGGTATGTTTTTCTTCAGTGTGTTGCTGGGTTTTAGGGGCAGCAACAACAGAAAAACTACTCGAGAGCTTGGCAAGCCTGCTAATGAAAATTACACAGAAAATAGAGCTACATTAAGGGCATTTTTCTCTAAACCATTTGTTATAAGAATGATAAAAAAAAATTTGGTCTGAGTCAGATATGGTTGAGTGAAGAGGATTGTGTAGTTTTGTGGATCTTGAGGCAATTTAAGTAACAAAAGAAGTGATGTGGTGTTTGGATGATGTTAATGACAACAACCCACCCTTTCCCTTTCAAAGACCTCAGTTTTGGTAACATTTGTACTGTTTGAATGGCAAGTGACTGAGACCAGTGGAGGCTCTTAAACCTGAGTGAGTTGTGGTGAGGGAAACCACCATGAGAGGGAGTGCAGGTTCCACTTGAAGGTCTATGAATGGTAATACAAAAGGGCAGGAGGTGGGTCCAGGCTGTTCCCTCTGGAATCTGATCATCAGCAGGATCAGTTCCCTGTGGGTTTTTGTTGCTTCATCCAACCAAAGGATGGTCCAGCTAATCAGGGTTACAGATCCAGGAATCCTTACAAACTGGGTGCAGTTGGACTGCACATCTGCCTGACTGTGTGTTCCATCCTGCCTGGGGAGTGGAGGTGACAGAACAGGCACATAAAAGGAACAGGGACTGTGTTAAGTGAAGGGCCTTCTTTACTGCTTGAGAAATCCCGTGTTATTTCCACTAAACCCGAGAAGTCTGCCTGCACTAAGCCAGGGTGTGCTGTACAGGGAGAAGGATAAGGAGGCTTTCACTGCACTGGAGTGTGCTCCTAGTGAGGAGCCTTTGAACACAAGTGCTTAGCTGTAGAAAGCCAGAGGGTACTCGAGCACAGAAGCTCTAAGGGCACAAACACTATCCATGTTGCAGATTGTTCCAAGGTGTTGTATGATGTGTGGTGATTCTTTGAGCCTGTGTATACAGGAAGGTGGGAGGTCAAACCTTTTTTCCTACAAAAATCAGATAGAAATGTTGCCTGTTTACTTCTGAACTTGTTTAAGGGCATAAAGAAAGAGGGATTGAAATCTTGATGCAGGGTTGTTTTTTATTGCTTATGGAGAAGAAGCATAAAATGAAAGTACCCAGATTTCTTTCTCTTCCTGAGTTCCAAATTCATGTCTTCTGTTAAGGAAAGCATCTAAAATAAGGTCATTTCCACCACCTTCCATGATGAGGACTTCCAAGCATACAGCCTGTAAAGAGACTTCAAATATTGAGATGTTTAAAACGTGTACAGCTCATGGCAGGTGTACTGCCCTGACCAGCTTGCAAAAACTTTTGTCTGTCCTGTGTGAAGGAAGGTTTTGTTCTTGATTTAAACATGTGCTGTTCCAAAGCTGTTAGAAAATGTTTATTTTCTTATTCAGAAACACTGAATGAATGGAATAAGTTTTTGTTTCTTCTTTTTCCTTACTTATATTGACATCCTTTTAGTCGTTCTCTTCAGTGTTTTCTTGGAACTAAAAACTTCATTACGTTTGTCTTCGTCTTTGACTGCAAGGACTAATTAGGAATAGAGATGGCATTTTTTATTTTTTGCCTGGCATTACAATTAACTGAAGATTTTCTTTGGTTGATTACTGCTCTTATATTCATCTCTGGTTATTTTCTCCCTGTTTTTACATCATCAGGTTTTTCTAATGTCTCATTACCAGATTTTTTTTTTTCTTTTTGGATTATCTTTTCTCATTAACATTTAAAGTCTTTGTCTCTCTTCTGTCCTTACCTTGAATCTATTTTTATTTGACCTTTTTCTCCAGCTCGTGTGCATGGTGTGTGTATTTTGCCTTTTTTTAATTTATTTTTTTTGTCCTTAATGTCTCTTCTTTCTTTGGTCCTTTTTTTACATTTTACTGTGTATCATCTCTTCTGGCCCGTTTTGCTCACACTTACAGTGTCTAATGCAACTCAAGTAATATTCCATAAAGCCCAACTAATTACCCAGCCTTTCACATGAGGGAATAAAACTTTTGGAAAGCTTTCTTTTTGCTGCTGCTGAAGTTTACATCAGTGTCTCCGGCTTCTACACATTTCAGATGAAAGGGTTCGTATTTTCTAACAGTCACATTCAGCTTGGTTAAAAGTTCATTTTTATTCTACTTCCAGTTGCACAACTGTAAAAACTCCTCTTTAGGCAACACAATAATCTTCAAAGGCTCAGGCTGACATATGTATTCAATCTAACATTTATATGCTCCAAGGATATCTTATTTTGTTCATGGTAACCTGTGACCATTCTCCTGATTTCTTTATAGAATGAGAAGCAATTTCCTCTTAAAGATCCACCTTTCAGTAGAGCTTGGCTCAAATATATACCATTACTGGTAGATTCATAAGTTTAAGATGAATATTTTTTCCTTTTTTATCAGATTTCTGCAATTGCTCTGCCACCTTTGCATCATGTCTGTCTTCCTGGCACTGCTCTGCTGCAGAGCAGGTATTTGTCATGTGAGGGAAGATTGCTTTTTATTCATGCAAAATCCTTAATGATCTGTCTCCTCTGTAAAGTACCTCAGGTTTTAAAAGGCAAGAACAGTAAGAAGAAAGAATGATGTATGGCTTTGATATGGTTTGCAGGAACTGTGTGTTTCTTAAAGAATAATGGGAAAAATTAGTATAAGGAGATTGTGAGATCCAAGAAAGACTGTCCAAGTCCAGTGATTCCATGGAGAATGCCTGGAGGAAGAAAGTCAGAAGCGATGTGGAGGAAATGTGTTGATTCAAGAAGTGCAGGGAAGAAAATATATTAGTGAAGGAGCTAAAATTTTAATGGAAGAAAGGCAAAGAAAGGGGAGGGATGAACAAAGCAGACTTGGCTGATCATAGTTTAGAGGGAATATAGATGTGCACAGGAGGATAGCTTTGTGTTTTTAGACCTCCTAGTTCACCTCCTGTAAAACTGAGGCTCTTCTCATCACAAGTCTCCCTGACAGAGCTTTAGGGGGTCCTAAAGATGGGCCCATCTGCAACTTCTCCAAAAATGGCCCCGTGTACAAGGGAAAGAGCTTTTCTTGAATATTCAGTGCCACGTTTTTAAATGTGGAGTCCATACAGGAAAGAGAGGTTATCAGGATGTCAGCACTGTGGGAAGGTTCAGTAACCTCTCATAAACCTCACAACAAATTCAAGCACAAGAGACAAATCAATAAAAAATCAGCTTCATTAGTTCAGTCACTTGTTTAAGTCCGTTACTATCAAGTATTTTCAAGGCAGTATCCAGCACTGGGGAAAATGCTGATCCTGCACAAAGCCTTTGGGCATCTTTCTAGGCAGAGTAGTGCTACCTTTTATCTCCTAATGGCTTAGGAAGACCTTGAAAAGAGACTTGTTTGCTACTGATTAATATCAATAACTAACTTTATTCCTGACTAATCCTCTCTCTGCTGACTAATCTCCTCTTTTATCTGCTGTTGCTGATTCCTTAACCTACAGGGATAGAAGTACACATTTAAAAACCTCAATATGGTAAAATAATATTTTAATTTAAAACATAAAATAAGGAGGGATCAGTTCTCCTCAGTTCTTTTTCGAGAGAGAGCTGTGGGATTCAAGGCTTGGCTTGACAGGACCTTAAGCCAAGGCTCTGCTCTCACCAGAAAACAGCTGGTTATCAGAGGTCCTTCCTGACCTGTGCTTTCCTGATCTGACCACTGAGTCAGCTCTCTGTGCAGATATAGCACATTTTATCTAAGTGCCCCTAACACATTTAGAACTGGAAGTGTCATAGTGGTCTGGAGATACAGATCTTACAGTGATTTAAGTGGTGTTATCGCAGCAAAAGACCAGTAAGGCTGTAACAAAACACCCTCTGGCTGTCAGACCTCATCCTCCCCTCAGAGATTAAACTGTGCTTCATTGACACTCAGGTTCTGAAGGGCAATTTGAAATATCTTTATTTTAACATGAGGAATGGCCAGTTTAAAGTATGTAAGAGAGGTGATTAAAGTGTAAAGGTAATCTCTGCAGGACTATCTATCAGTAACTTTGTGAGGTGAATTTGTCTCAGTCCTTTAGGCTTGCATATATTAACAGTTTCACTGTGGTTAGAAGGGTGGTTTTGCCACTGACAAATGTACAAAGCAATGTAAAGTCAAAGTTACAGAAAACTTACAAATTTAGACTTGATAAGTACCAGCAGCTTCTGCTTTGCATCAGATTAATGTTAATTGTTGTACAGACTATTAAGTAAAATGTTGGTAATGCAAGTGCACAGCTTAATACAGCAGAAAGTGCAATTACAATTTCACTTGTTCATCATACTCCGTGTACTTGGCTTTTTGAACTGGGAAAACAAAGAAGGTGGTGATTTGGGTGTGTTAATAGTGAGTTTTATAGTAAATGTGGGTAGAGTCCTTCCCAAATCTTCGTTTGCGAAGCCTAGCCATGATGATGATGAATAATGAGTTTCAGGCCTGGATAGTTCACTGTTCAAAAACTTTAAGGAATGGATAGATATTTATTTGTAACATTATTTTCTCCAGAGAGATATTTTATTTAGAACACCTGGCACTTTGCAGTGAGTTAATGAACATCATGTATCATTTACCTTTGGGAATTCTCTAGTCTGTGTCTTGTTTGCCATTGTTTAGTAAACTTGGAATTTCTGTGTTTATGGTCCAGTTGTAGATGTTATGATGCTTCAGAGTTTGCATTTTAGAGGAAGAAAACTTTATTCCCATGTTTCATGAACTTCACTTGGAATTATTTTGCTTTCTGCTTAAAAGAGAAATAGGGTTCACATTTACATTGAAGGATCAATTTACAAAGAAATGTACTGATAGAATATAGATACATCACCTGTATTAGTGATATAAGGTGTAATACAGAGCTGCTTTGCATGGACAGAAAAACAGAGTTAGAACTGCCATAGTCTTACTAAATTGTCACTTTTTTCTAGATCTTAGCAAGTGGAAGAGATTGGCTTTGTTATGATGATACAAAAACTGGAATTTCTTTTTGTGGGAGCTTGTAAATAAATGGAGACTGGCTTGACTCTAGAATAATGTTTAGCTCATCAACAAGTTTCCATAGGAATTTAAATCAAGCATTTCATGGTTATGAAGCTGATAGAAACATAAAAAAAGTTCATACAGTAGAAACATTCAAAAATGTTCCTCCTAATGCATAATTTTATACCCTGAGATGAGGTGCCTGCATATGTACATGCCTTTGGCATCACAAACGTTTGTTTCAAAACATGTCATCAAATTAGAAAGCTCCTGTGATAAAGATCACCAGTGCATAAATCCACCAGTCTTACCAGTGGATTATATCCCAGAGATTGTGGATTGTGCAAAACATTTGAGGAGAAATATCTGTGAACACACTGAGCTGCTGCTGTGGTGTGACCAGACTCTGCTCACTGCACCAGTCCTACTGAGTAAATCAGAGCCTGTGGGCAGGGAATGCCAGTGCTCCATGCAACCTGGATGGAAATCTCTTGGCTTTGGCTTCTGGCAGCTTTAATTGTTCTAAGTGGCTTCTTGGTTTCCATTGGGTTGGCACAGAAGTGGCTCCTACTCAGTTCTCTGCTTAACCTCCACTGTTCTTCCAGGGTAACTGCCATCCCTGCTGGAGTGTTTTAAGTACAGAAGGGTGACCATTCAATGTCCAGTCTGTGCTATCTGTGTCTGTACCCCTGTTTGTAGGGGAGATCCTTTGATGCAGTGTCAGAGCATTCCTGTTGTGTTATCATCTTCCCTGTGCCTCCCAAAGGAGAAGGTGCTGGGTGAGAGGATTCTTTGGCTTGGCTCAGTATTGCCACTCGTAACTAAGGGAGGTGCACTGAAAATAAGCCAAGTCTGATGGTCACTGATGGGGGATGCCACAGCTCTTTGGGAGGAGATGCAGCTTCCATAACTATTGGTGGGGATAGGATTTTGATCTTTTAGATCTCCCTCAGACACTCGAAGGATGTTCTCAGACGGCATCAGCAAAGATCCTCAACCATGCCTAGGTTATGAGTCAAAATGGATGAGGCTTGGAAAACAGAATTGTACTTTTTTTTTTTCCCCCTTCCCTATTCTTTTAGTTCTTACCCTTTTCTCCAGTAAGAAAATCTTTTTATCCTATCTTCTTTTATTTCTCCCACACAAGGTGGACTTAAACTTCATCTTACTCAGCTTCTGATTGTGCATCCAGGCAGAAATCCTTGGCACTTTGAGAGGTTCCAAATCATCAGTGTGTACATGCAGTAGACTGCAGGGCTGGAGCTTGACATTGAGAGGAATATGTAAGAGTTTAATAAAAGTTAAAATGAAAGTAAGAATGATTTAAGCTTTTGCTTGAGTGATGAGTGACTTGTGATTAGTTACATGCTCCTTTTTAAAGAGACTGTTCAAGTAGTATTACCACCTATTAAAATGAATGTGCCAGCTTTAAATTCATAATCAATTATCCTTTTACTTTTTATAGTTGTCTTCTCTGAGGAAGAGAGAGAGCAGCTCAGAAAGTTCACAAATAAATCTTACCTGCTGGATAAAAGGAGCCGTCATCATGTATATCTTGGATTAATTGATATCCTCCTGGCATATTGCTATGAGATCTGTATCAATGAAGGGGACAAAAATGTAAGTTAGAAAAAATAAAAATATGTGTTAGGAACCTAGTGCTGGACCCTGTCCTGCCATTTAGGAAACTTATTTTTTAAAGTGAACTTACTTCCAAGCACTAAAAATATATGAGTAACTTAAAATTAAGGACTTTGTATCTCTAGATTGAGCTATTGGGATGTATGTGGGGATTATTGGGATTTCAAAATACTTGTGTTCTTCTGCAGCAGCATTTTAGTAGGAGAGATGTGGAACTGCAGGAGATTTCAGACAATTCTGTTTGTTTCTGATTTGTGTTGTGATGGGTCTTGGTTTATGTAAATGGAAATTTAACAAAATAATTGTTCTTTTTTTGTTCTATGCTGTTGTGTGGATAACTTGCCCTTTTGGAAATGGACTTGCTTCCCAAGTACAGCTTTGAGCCTTGAATCTCCTCTGATGATATTAACCAGTGAGGTGTTTTCTGAATGCTTTTAATCAAAATATTGGGACATGTAATCAAAATTCTGTTCTGTCTTAATCAGATTGGCTTGGAGGGCATGGTTTGTAGAAAGAGAAGCAGAAATGTCCAGACCTCTTTATTCAACAGAATAATCTGGGATTGTTGTTTTGTGTGTTAGTGCTGCACAAAATTGCAAATCTGCCAGGAACACAATTGTACAATTCTTTATTTGGTTTGCAGTGAGTGTATGGGATATGCAGAAAACACACTGTGGGTTTTGTCCTTTTTTCCCCCTCTTTTTTTTTTTTTTTCTTTTATTCCTGTTTAATAGGAAAACCAAGACATTCAGGCCACACAAATCTTTACTAGAGCCAGGATTACAGATCAAGGCTTTCTGGCTTTTTGCCCTAATCATCCCACTAGACCACACTTGCACACAAATACTGTGAATCTGTCACATTTTAAGAATAATGGCATTTTACATATACTGCTGGCTTTGGGACCCTCTCCCAAAGCCAAAAGTCTTGAGCTGTTTTCATGAAACAAGGCAGTTGAGCTTGGCTTTTGTTGATTCAAGTTTCTGTTGCTTTGTGCAAAGGGACAGAATTCCACTAAAATACTGTTTTTCTGTGCATTGCTGTTGTATTTCAAAGGCTGTGCATGGGCTCAATATTCCCACTATGAAAACCAACATCTGCATTGCAATATAATTTTTAAAGCTGTCCTGTGGCCATTTCAATGCACGTAATGTAATTACTGCTGCTTATTCACAAAGGTTCTTAAATTGCTGCCAGAATGTTATCTTAAATAGTTTGCCAGCAGTCTTGAGTGTGGGGTTAGATAACACTTATTTTACTGTCTTCTCTTAAAATTAGGTTGAATCATCTTGGAACATCAGGAAACTGAGTGCAACGTTGTGCTGGCTGGAGGTGAGGCAAAACTAAAGTTCTGTATTATGTGGGTTTGCTGTATACTTGGGGGTTTATGGGTGTTGTGTGTTGCTTTTTGGGCAAAGTTTACTCTTTCAGTATTGAATGTTAGTGGATATGTGTTGCTTTACCTGCTCCCTGTCTTTTCAACCTTATTTATAGAATTATAAAGGTTGGAAAAGACCTTTAAGGTCATCAGGTCCAACCATCATCCCAGCACCACCCCCTTGTTCCCTGTTAAACCCTGTCCAAGTGCCACATCCCTGTTTGTTTGGTTGCTGCTCACCCTTTGAAGCCAACACAGATAAGAGGAAACACTGAATTCTGTTCTTTCCACACTGACACTGTTCATTGAGTGTACACAGACCTGTGTAAAGAAGTTGCTAAAGAGCTGGCAGTGGAAGGGATGGCCTGTAATCCACTCATTGTCATGATGCAGCAAGCTGGGAAGGACTGTCCCAGCCCCATTCCTGAAGTTACTGAGCCAAGTCTCAGTTTGCAGGGTCAAAACTGAAATTTGACAGGACTTTTAGGCTCATCCTTTGAACTTTTCTAGTGGTGATGAATTTACATTCACTAATAACTTATTCTGACAACAGGTTTTCTAGATCTTTTATTAATAATTCTGCAGTAGCAGGTCACAAAAGAGTGCACTTAAAATGCACTGATTGCCTCAATTCCTGATTTATCTTTTTCAGATCCATGTCCTAACATAGTAAAGGGGTTTTCTGCATGTCCTTATGATATAGCAGTTCTTGGGGCAGCCTGTGCCAACTGTATATTTCATACTCAGAAAATTCAGTCTCCTGGCACCAAGCTGTTAATAACTATCTCTGTTATACAAACCATGTAGGGTGGGTGTTTTCATCATTCTGTAAACAAAATTGCCTGAGCTCTGGTTTGTTTGAACTGGCTGCCATTTTGCTGGGCATGACATGTACACACACCTTAGCCTTTAAATATTAAATCACAAACCATAAATGATTTAAATGCTTGCTGGTCATCCATTAAAATGAAAAATGGGTTGAGGTAGTCACGGTGCAGAGAAGTGCTGGCTGTCAGCAAAGTGTTTTTATTAATTTTAATAAATTGAGGGTTCAAGATGAAATAGGTATTTTTATTTGAATTCATAAATGGAGTATTTTGTCTTGAAAAGTGAGAGCTGGGAAGAAAATCACTCCTTTAAAAAAGTCTTTAATACCACCTTAATGCCTCTGGCCTGAGTAAATTAGAGGTCTTCCTCACTCATAAAGGAGGACAAGGAACTGCTCTCCCCAGGCAGGTATATTTATCCTTGTCTTGAATATCTATAATTTTCATGGAAGGCAGAGTCATGTATCATTTCTAAAGATCTTATATGTACACATGTATTTGGTTAATATCATGTGGATTTAATTTTTCTTTATTTTTAAAAGGCTTTTTATAGCTTCTCCTTAATATATATAATAATGTGGGACAGATGTAATTTATTGCTTTAATCTAAAGGATGGCAAAGTCTTGAGGTAGATGTTTTATTCTGATGTTCTCTACGTTCTTTTTTTAATCCAAAACCACTAAAATGTACAGGACTTCTGTCATCCTGCCATGCAAACCAAATGTGCAGTGTCTTGTTTCTGTTTAACATGTTGATTTCCATATCTATTCAAATACAGCTTTGTAGAGGCATAATATATAAAAATTTACTTTTTTTTGCTCCTATTCTACTATGACATTTTTCCTTTAAGGAAAACAAACAAGCACAAAGACTAATTCAGATTTTTTTCACTGATATACACAGAGCTTCACTTGCATCCATGATGTCCTGGTATCTTTTGGAAGAAGAGTGCTCTGCTACCCCCTGTACAGACATTTTGGGTTAGTGACACGTGCCTTCAGTGACACAGTCATGATACTGCAATTAGGTGAGTGTTTTAGGGGTTGGAAGTGATGCCTGTAGAGCCACCTTGTTTGTGTGTCTGTTTGCTTTAATAACTTTGAATCCTTTGGCCAGTTTCACCCAAACTTGAAGTACCAACATTTCTGGACGTGTGGTGGTTTTGTGAAAATGGGGCTGTGGAGAGAAGAGGAAAAAAAAAAAAAGAGTACCTTTAGCAGTAGAAAGCCTCTGAAGCAACTAATTTATTAGGCAGCAGATAATACAAGCAGTATTCCTGAGGTGTTCCATTGTGTGGGGCAGTTCAGTACTGCTGTGCAGAATCACACACCTGAGGAGAAGGGGTACTTTTGTGGCTCCTACTGAGTAGGACAGTGTTACAGTTCTTTGCAGGTTTAAGGCAAAATGGTTGAGGTGACCCCAAAGAATAAAAAACTGGCTGTACACTGTGTTTTTGTAGCTTTTTGTTTCCCCTTGAGGAGTGGAGCTGGCATCTGACTGACTGCAAGTTATTCCTTCAGCAGTGATATTCTTTTTGTATATTCCCTGTTTATCCCAGAGAGCTTTCCTGTAACAGTACAGATCTTCAAGCCTATGGCTTTTCCAGCTCCAGTTTTGCAGTTGTACACAACCATGTTTATATCTTGGGTTATTAAAGTTACTTGCAACTTTTCTATTTATCGTGAGTTACTACTTTTAAAAAAAAAAAAAACACATTCAGGGTTAAGATTAATTTTTTTGGACAGAAGAATCACTGAGAAGCAGCACTTCAGTGGTTTATTTTCAATTGCAGGATTAAAAACCCACACAAATGACAATATTAATCTCTACCACTGCCAAAAACTATTGATTCAAAATACTATTTACATTATAGCAGTCAGGTAGTGAAGTCTTAAGGGGGAGATAGATGCTGTCCTTCTTCACTTATCTCCACTGGCTTATGTTGCTGTTCATACATGTGAAAAAATAAAATTCCAGTAACAAAACTGCAATGATCCAGTGCTGTCAGCCTTTTGGATTTGTTTTTTTCTAAGGAGGATAGTACAGGAGAGATAAGATACTTGCTTTTCTTTCAGTGTCATGATGGAAAATGGTACTGCAGTGAACTTTCAGTGATCCAACAAAATTTCTTTAGTAGCTTGGTAAGGGAGATGAGGAAAAGCTGAGAAGAACTGGGGGCTGTTCAGTCTGGAGAAGAAGAGGCTTCATGGAGACCTTAGAGGCCCTTCCAGTACTTAAAGGGGGCACATAAGAAGGCTGGAGAGGGACTTTGGACAAGGGTATGGAGTAATCGGACAAGGGGGAAAGACCTTAAGCTGAAGAAGGGCAGGGTTAGATGGGATGTTGGGAAGGAATCCTTCCCTGTCAGGGTGGGGAGGCCCTGGCACAGGGTGCCCAGAGAAGCTGTGGCTGCTCCAGCCCTGGAAGTGTCCAAGGCCAGGTTGGACGGGGCTTGGAGCAACCTGGGCTAGTGGGAGGTGTCCCTGCCCAGAGCAAGGGGGTGGAACTGGGTGGTCTTTAAGGTCCCTTCCAACCCAAACCATCCTGTGATTCCACTTCATATGGACATAAATCCATTGGGAGTGGCATGGGCAGTGTAGTGATGAAAGTAATGGTGATGAATGTGAACTTCTGAAAGTTCTGGGGTTTGTGTATCAAATCAGTATTTACTGTTATGGTGAGTGTAGAGTGTGAAAAGTGCTGATTTTTTTAAGGAGCCAACTGCCAAAGAATTGGAAAGGTACCAAGTGGATGGGTTACCCATCTGTAGTCAGAAGCAGGGTGGGGGAAGAGAGTGTGTGTAGGTATTGTTAAAAGAAATAGGGTTGTAGGTAATGCTTGTACCACCAAGACACATTCGTTCAGTCAAAAACTTTCCCCTTTCAGTCTTCAGTGGTATTTGAACCGTTCTTTTGGGGAATTTCTGTTTTTACAAAATACTTAGCAAAGTATGCACTGTGCAAATCAGACTAGGACTAAAATAACATTAAACACTGTTACCCTCTTTGGAAATTATGCATCACCGATTTGGCACTGTATGGGTGTGAGGGACATAGGTAAAAATCAATAACAGATAATGAATTCAATTAAATAGTAACACAAAACTTGCTTTTCATGTAGATTCAAGGACTGCTGTCTAACTTAAAGGAAGAATTGATTTAAATTGACCTCTCCTGACTTGAGATTTCTTTCAGGATGCTGTTGACAGAAGCTGGGACATGGTATAATGCAATGTTTCACTAATAATAAGCACAGTAAACTAATATATTTTAAAATACTAAAGAATTCTGATGGCACTGAATGCCTCAAGTTATGTTACTTGACTTTAAAAATATTAGTCCTGTGTTGATGGATCACTTCCAAGATACAGGATACTGCATTTTTAAGCTATTAAGGATCCTTGCATGTGGTTGAAACACTTTATTTTGCATTAAGACTTCCTGCCAAAGTCTTAATTGTAAGACAAATGCATTGAGCTGATTAATATTGAGGTTCTCAGCAGATTTTTTCATATGCTGTTCTAGTGATCTGTGGTACTTAAAGTACTTCACGAAACTGTTCAAAATCAACGTAGTTATTGACTGTATTTATCTGTTCTTTGGGTAGGATTGAAAAAGGGAATGAAATGGCAGTGGTACATCCATGACCCTGCCAGAGCAGGTGACCCGTTGTGGTCCCTTCCAACCTGAACCATCCTCTGATTCTGTGATTTTGAAGTTGTCATCTATGAGCTGGTAATAAAAACTCATTTGGGCTCTTTTTTGCAACATAAAATATCCTTTGCTTCTTTTCATGCAGAACCTAACACTAATATATTTACAATTCTACAATTGCCCATTAAAAACAGATAGTACTGTTGCCTAACTGGGTAAGTTATTACCAGGATGTTTCAATTTAAAAGCCTTTGAGGGTTCTTTTCTTGTGTTTAAAAATGCTGGTTTTCTCTCTTTTAAATGAAACAGTAAAGTTCAGTTTATCTTCTTAGATGAATGCTTCTCCTTGAAAATGTGGAAAAACGTACAGAACTCTTCAGGAAAAATAATGTAAAATAGATATATGTGACTTTAAATTTCCTTTGCTTCCAAATACACAGTATGAAAGGTGGTAGAATTTCATGATGGTGTAGAATCAGTATAATTTGTTCTATCAAATGGCAGATACAGAACTGGGGTCAAATTGCATCCTTTTTTTTTAAATAGTCTGTGAAAAGAGGACTGGCTTTCTGAAAATGTAGAATTCAAGTTGCAGGCTGTGGGGTTAGCAGCTGTCATAGCAAGGAACTCCAGAACAACCCAGTGATCTGCAGACAATTGCTCTGAATTTTCTGTTATAGATGTTGGGACCTTTTTATATTTCTGCTTTTAAAACTGTTGGGATCTTTTGCATAATCAGGAAATAGTATCTGCACATAAAAAGCAGTGTATTTATTGATCAGTTAAATGCAGAGCTGTGACTTCACACAGAAGAGATGCAAAAACTGTGTTAAATCATATGGACTCACACTCTAAAAGGAGACATTTGGTAGTTTGCTGTGCTCCGTGTTTGCCTTGACTCAGGATTCCCTATTCCATGTCTGGCAAGATTTGCAGCCTCTCTAATTAGAGACCCATTAAGCTCCTGGAATCCAAAACTTTTAATTTATGAAGAAAGACTTTTTAATTGAGAATTAGTGCGATATTCACTGCTGTGCGTTGTCGCTTGGCAGATGAGTAGCAGGAGTGGATGTTGTAAATGCTTTGGGCTGACAGCTTGACAGCTGGAACCTGAGAAAATTAGCAAGATTTTAATTCCACATATCATTTCTTTTTAAAAGAGCTCACTTCTTTTTAGTCAAAATAGTGAAGTTTGACAAGCTTGGCTTGACAAGCATTGATGGGGATACAGTCTAAAAGTTATCAGTTATATTTGGGATTTTGTTTTCTTACCTGACTTCTTCAGTAGGTTTCCCAAACCAGCAAGTTTTTCAGTTCTTTGCCGTGGCTTATTACTCTTTGTTCTTTCTCCTTATTGCCATCTTCCTCATCCTTTAACTTTCATTCTCTGTCTCTATTTTTGCAGCCTGGAACTACTTACAAACAAATAAACAAATGTTGTGCTTGAACAGCAGGGGGAGTTCTGATCTTTTTTTTTTCTTTTTTTTTTTTTTCCCTTCCCTGCTCTTCTAAATCTGTAAAATGTAATTTCATCCCTGTTCAGGTTTCATAGCCTAGGAGGAGCCAGCCTCTTGGGAGAGGGTTATTAGATTCCATTTGCAGTAGTGGCTGTTTTCATTTGAATATGGTGGTTTTTTCCCCCATTAAACAGCGAAAATAATTTTTTTAAGTGTTCCAGCACTTAACCCTTTAGCAACTGTAATCAGAAAACTAGGGGAGGAGATTCCAGCTAATTGGATTGTTGCATATGAAGGAAAAATCAAACTGACAACAGAAAGTCTTCTGGTTGTGGAATGATAAATCATTTACGTTTTTCATCTTTTACTGAGTTGATTATCTGTGTGTCAAATGGCCCTTTATTGGGCCTAAAGGGAGGTTTTTCTTGCATTTTGCCAAATTATTCAGTAACTAGTCAGAAGCAGGAAAAGTTTTCCTTAATTTCGGGCCCTGGTGAGCTGTTGGGCAGTGGCATCATTACACTGCCTCACACAATTCCATGTGCTTGACCCTGCTGAGGGCTGTGTCTTCCCAAACCTGCTATTTTCCAGCACAGGTATTTGTGGAGGCATAAAGGGAAATGTGTTTTCCTCCAGAGAAATGATGGGGCATAACTTTTTGTTATTTGTCAGTTACTTTTCAGTTTACTCTTTTTTTTCTTTTTTTCTTTTTTTTGGTCAAAATACCATGCACTCTGTGCCTGTTACAAAGTCTGGGACAGCAGAGCTTGGACAAGTGGAAAAGCTGGGGGAAGGGGCTCCTTCAGCTGTGGAGAATTACATGCATGACTGTGCCTTGAGGCTTTAGTCTTGCAGAGAGATTCCCACTGAATTCAGCGGGATGTGGATACCAAAGGACACAGTTACACTGCTGCTGTCCTGAGCCTGTGATTCAACTCCAAAGTTCCAGGAGGGTTGTAGATACCGTGGTTATTAAAGCCTCACAGGTGAGATGATGATAAATATGATCTATTAAGATTTCTAGTGATTCACAAAAACAAAAATCTATTTCCAGGAAAAGCTGCAGTTTTGAAGTGTCTGCTGGACGTTCACAAGATTTTCAGGGAGAGTGACCCTGCCTACATCCTTAACGATCTCTTCATTACAGACTATTGCATCTGGATTCAAAAAATCAAGTAAGTTCTTCAGTAGTTATTGCTGTGGGTAATGTTTTCAGCATACTTCATCTGTGAACAAGTATCAGCAAAGTAAAAAGAAATTCTGTCCCCTATACGTGGAAATAAGATCACTCTTCTTCATTTAGTAGCTGTGTCTGTCCAGCTATTCGTGTGGAGATATTCAGTGCATTTTTTTATGTAGTGACATGACTGGAGAAAGGAGGGAGGAATTGCATTTTAAATAAAAATGTGAGTTTTTGTGAATCTATTAATAGATTTTTTTGGGGGGGAAAAAACAGCTTCTGGGGAATTTTCATTCTATTGCAATCTCTCAGGAAGAAAAAAGCTTATATATCACTTATATAACTTCAGGATAAAGGTAAGAAATAACTCCTAGTTCTGAATTGAATTGACAGCACAGGCAGACCATTGACAGCTGTAGGAAACATTGATTTATGGGCTGTAGCAGTTGTAGCAATTGATTATCAACACCAGAGTAAGTGTCACAAATCTCCATGCACTGTGTGCTCCTGCCCCTGGAGCTGTTTGCCAGCTCCCTCTCCCTGACAATGTGCTTTGGCTTCCACTTCACTTGAGAGGAAACAGTGACTCTGCCACTTCCAGGCAAAGTCCCTGCACTTCAACACTTCTGTGCCTCACCTGTGTTCTTTCAACAGAGTCAGTATGGCTTATTTCCAGAGTTTTGGGAAGTTTGCAGCCAGACTGGTTACAATATCAGCATGTTTTAATGGCTTAAAACCAAAAGTGTTGGTAGGAAAACAGTGGAAAGTGGATTAAATGATTAAAGCAATCTGCATGTTCAAATCTTACTAAGCTTTATATTGTTCTTGTCAGATTTATTCTGTTTTCCATACAGCTTTTGTATTTTCTTCCTTCCTTTTTATGTCTTCGCAGCCTCCTCTGAAGGGCCACAAAAGAAGGTGTGAGTTGGAATAGGCATTACTGATGTAAACACAAAAAAATGCCATTTTCATACTGGTTAATATAGCAAAATGTAGACTCATAAAACTGGTTAAAATTAGTCTTTGCTTTTCAGTTCACAATTTAACAAGAGAGGGTGGGAGAAAAATAACTTCAGTGCATGAGACACAAGGAGCAGTGAGGGGATATAGAGGGAAATTGGTAAGAATTATGATCAGAAAGGGGAATGTGACAGAGAACTGAGCCTGCACAGGCTGTAGGTTTAGGTGTGACCTTATCAGAACTTCTTGGAGAATTAAAGACCCTCAGTTTATAGCTGCTTATTATGCATTGTAGATGATGTTGATTCTTATTCTCCTCTGTGTGCTTTCGGTGACTGTGTTCCTATAAATAGAAATGCACAAAACACTCTAAAGCAACTACAGGTGTTTCCAAACATTCTGATTCATCAATCCTCGTTAATTCCAGGATCAGCCAGTTCATTTTACACTGTCATATTTGAGGAGGCCTTTTTTGGCCACACCTTAAATGTGTGGGAAATTCCCCAGGTATGGGGAAATTCATGTTCAGGTTGAAGTTGAGATGAAAAAGTGCAGTAAATAAAGGAGATAGTTATTTCATGGATCTTTCACAAAGAAATGAGTCATAAGACAGTAATATCACTGCTGCCCATATCAATGAATATAATCTCTAGCAAGTCAGTCATAAACCCCAGGGTTTTCTTTAAATCCAGCCCAGGAAAATGCACAGTAGCTATAAGTGATAGATTAACACGTTTCCTCCCAGACTCTCACATTATGTCCCAGTTAAGCAGAACTGACAGCTGCTGGAAAGAGGGCAATTAAGCTCTCTTATTGTCAGAGTGACAGGGCACAATAGCTGTCTGTCATTAGCAGAGCGGGAGAAAGAGGAACCGCAGAAACCATTCCTATTTTTAGGTCTGAATCAGGACAGCATTTAAGCATATGCTGAAGTCATTCCTGTTCAGTTTAGCAGTGAAGCATGTGTTTTAAGTTCAGCATGTGCAAAGTGAATGGGAACACTTTGTTTTATTCCTTTATGTTGAAGGGAAAACCAAAAGTTCACTTGTCATTCAGAAAATACCTTGACAGATGCAGAAATGGGCAACCAATTGTCTGTTCAGGACAAGGGTTCCCAGCTCCCCAGGGTGAGGCATCTGGAGAGGAGGGTGGTGCATCTTCCATTCCAGGGGAAGAAGGTTATGACATCCCTCTGCTAACTCCCTCTGAAGCACTGGCACAGAGGTTGCCCAGAGAAGCTGTGGCTGCCCCAGCCCTGGAAGTGTCCAAGGCCAGGTTGGACGGGGCTTGGAGCAACCTGGGCTAGTGGAAGGTGTCCCTGCCCAAGGCAAGGGGTGGGACTGGATGAGCTTTAAGGTCCCTTCCAACCCAAAACCCATTCTATGATTCTATAATTGCCTTAATGGTGAGAGAGTTCTGTGAGGAGAAGGTATTCATAGGTGTTTTTGTGGTGGTCTTTCAATGTAATTATTTTCATCTCCAGTGGGTCTGGATACTTTCTGGTTTGTTTCTTGGCTATTCTTTGCTCCATGGAAGCTTCTTTGTCTCCATTTTCTCCTGTCTTTTCATAACTGAGAGTGCTCTCAAAATCCATGGAAGGTTTTCCTTTTCTTCCCCTCTTTCCCTGGTATGTAACCAAGTCCTAGTGGAGGTTTGGGCCTCTTTTTTTTTTTTTTTTTTTTTTTTTTTAAATAAACAGTTAAAACAGCCTGTAGGTTCTTTTGAAAGAAGAATCTGGTCACTTTAAAAACAGCTGGAAGCAAACTTTTTAGCTCACCTGTGCTGGCAGAGAACAGTCTGGGAGATGCAGGTTTAGGAAAAAAGCTTGGCACAGGCAAAACTGTAATGGATGTATCCAGTGGCAGTAGGCACACAGTCCTATTCCAGATGAAGAGGAACTCCCCTGGTAGGTACCAGCTTTTAAATATTCCACGTGGAAACAAAAACCTTATAGCCAGCAGTGTGTCAATGGCTGATTACAAATTTGCTTTGAGATCATGGTTTGGCTGTGGGGAAATTAGATGAATAAGTGAATGTGTCACTGGGCTGGCAAGAGCTGATTTATTTTAAGCACAGTGTATGTGGAATTGGAAATGATTAAGCTGCTGAATAAAACACATGCAGGTGGCTAATAGTCAGTTGGGTATGGGGAGTACAAACTAGGTCTTTAATGCTAAGGATTTTATTTTCTTTTTTAGAAAAATTGTTTTAATCAGGTGCCTGGTACTAAGAGAAAAATAGATTCCCAAATGTCTTAGTCAAGATATTAGCAAGTGTAGCTAAAATTTTGCCTTCCTGTTTACAGTCTTAAAGCTAGTTTTACCTGCTTTCTAGGTTTCTAGTATTTCTCTTTAAGCTGCTTTTGAGGTGACTATTAATAATTTCAACTGCTGTATGAACTGGCATGTAAATCCTGTTAACTGTTACTAGGCTTTGGAGAAAGGGAGCATGTTGCTCAGCAAAACTTAGCAGAAAGAGGGAGAAGTAAATGTTAACCTGGATAACAAAGACCTATGGAGGCAGCTTGTGGTAAATCTCGGCAGGTGGTGTCAACATTTCTGTTGAAAAGCCAGATGCAGCCAGATGGAAAATTGCATCTTTAACCCCTGAGGTCATAATGACATGTCATCACTTCATTTGATCCCCCTGCTAAGTGAGCTTATCATCCACCCTGCTGTCACTTCTGTTATTGCTTTCATTTCCATAATAAAATTAAATTTAATTTGTCTGCTTTGCATGCCTTTGTTCTTTAGGTCCGAGCTTTTACAGGCCATTCTGATACATGTGGCAGCCTCTGAGGTGAAGTTGTAACTCAATTTGTATTACAAATCTGAGGTTTTCTCTGTCTTCCACACCTTCCTTTGAGCAGAAGGAGATGAGGGAGAGGAGAAGGAGTTTTGGGGAAACCACTGGTTGGTTGGCAGCTGCAATAGGGGCTGCTGAGACCAGGGGAATCCAGGTGCAGGCTTGTTGCAGGAGAGCCTTTTCTCCCTCTGGAGAGGAGTTCTGTGTCTGTGACCCCACAGGAGTTGTCCTTTACAGAAGTCAGAATAGTTTACCCACTGCCTCTTGCTGTGCTGAGGTTCCTTTGTGTGGCCTGATGTCTTTCTCCAGTGTTTTGTGTTCCCCTTTGTGCCAGGCTCTATTCATACTGGTTTTTGGTCACTGTTGTACATATGTGCCTGCTGGCCATGACATGGGTGGAAGGCTGAACAGCTTCCTATGAGTCCTTGTCCAGGCAGGCAGTAAGTCCATGCTGTTCTGCAGCCCTGCCTGAGAGGAAAAACTTGAGCCCATGTCAATTTAAAATACTCTTACCTACTGTTTACTTGCATGTTTAAACATTTACCACTTTAGTGTCAGTAAATGAGCATATTCTGTGTTCCTGAAATGGAGTTGAAGTTCTGAGTGTTCCTGGAAGTTTTCCAGGGGGTGGTACACTTAGTACAGAATCACAGAATGGTTTGGGTTGGAAAGAACTTTAAAGATCATCTTGTTCCACCTCCTTTCCACTAGACCAGGTTGCTCAGAGCCCCATCCAGCCTGGCTGTTGTATAGTTGGGATTAATCTGCTCAAAGTTTTGTGGGTATGAGACATGCAGGAGAATAAGGTATATTTTTCACTATCACTATTTTTCTACTTTTTAATTTACCATCTGACCTTTTGTTCATGTTCTACTGCAAAAAAAAAAATTATAAAATGATTGTGTATTGTAGTAGCTTCAACTTGTGCAGTGAAGGAGATCTGTGTGTTAAGACAAATAAGCTGTTAAATTGCCTTGGTGTTTTCTGTGGAACTGTATCTGCAACTTGCTTTGTTATCCTTCACAAATATGTGTTCCCCAACCTAAGACAAATGTAACATTGCTAATTTTGGTGACTGTAGGTGTAACATGCCAGTTTGAGCATGGATTCTTTGATTTAAAGTTTGGAAAAAAAAACAGGGTTCCTGGTGGCATTTATACAATCGTTGTGGAAGCTGCTGTCTTTATTGGAACTAACTGAATTAAAGCTAAGCCAGATATTCCTGAGCTG